ATATCCGATGTATTATTATTTTCGTAATGTTTCGATTCGTTTTCTTATCCCATTTTTCTTTATTGTACTTTATGTATTGTTACGATATTTGAATTTTAGTATTTAAACATATTACAATAAAATGAGTAAAAATAATAAATTAAAATAAGATTAGTTCTGTTCGCTATTTCGAAAGATGATTTGATTGACGAATAATTTCAAATTCTGACACATAATTACAGGTTTTGATTCATAGGTTTATGCCACGGTTTTATCAGTACCTTATCAGGTACATACATAGAAAAAACTGAATCCATCCTGGATATTTTTTTTTATTAAGTAAATTTTCATAATAATACAAAGTCTTTAAAACAAAGAAATGCTATAAAATGTAGTTGTTAAATTAAGACATGTTTTTCGTTTGTAATCCTAATTTTATTAAGCTAGGTCGTCGTACTACTTATTTCATTATAATTCTATTTTCTACTAGCTTCTGCCCGCGACTTCGTACGCGCAATCCCGTTTCTCCCATTCCCGCAGGATTTTCAGGACGTTTTTCTGTCATAAAAACCTTCTCCTGGCGATAACAAACACAACAAAAAAAAATCAGCCAAATCGATCAAGCCGTTCTCAAGTGTTTTATATGTATATATAGACTAATAAGTAAACTACTTTTTCGATGCAATTATGTCCATTTTTTATTTCGCACAAATCTCATCGTTATAAAAAGAACTCACTAAAAAAGTACTTAATTTTTAATTATTAATAGGTTTAATATAATCCATCCATAGCCTTTTATGCCTACATTCCTATAAAAAGAAATTGTATAGAAAACTGTATCCTCTGCAACTGCGAAAGTAACGTGCATAACTGTCTTGACAAATCTTTGAGGCATACCTATAAGTAGAGCTAAAGTCTAAAGTTACAAAGATAAGACAAAAGTATTAAGAATACCTTAAAACCAACATAAGTTACTGAGTATAACTATATCACTTTACCAGTTGAAGCCGTTACGCCTACGAAAGCGCTACGAATTCTCAGTGACGTAGGAAGGTACGCCGGCGTAGGCGTAGGCGGATGCTACGAAAGTACTACGTAATTATAAGGCTCGTAGACGTCTCAGTATGGCAGAGAAAAAAATATGATGTAGCCATTTTTTTTATCTAATAACTTTTTATTTACATTATGTCGATTATAAAAAATAAGTACACATAAATTATAATGGTTAAAAATTAATAAAATCAAGTCATATCTATGAATCGCGCAACTATCAACGTTTCATCGTAAATTATTTAGTGGTGTTGCATTATTATCAACTTCATGGATTGTTAGTCCCTAAAGATAGGCTAATAGGTAAAATAAACACCCACTTTTCACCAGATAACCACCCCTAAATACTTGGGAAAGGGAATCATAACTAGCGACTTTAGACCAGTCTAGAAGGTCGTTTTATACAAAGATTATGTTCTGTACCTGAAACTTTCTGAAGCTAATTATTACCCGCATAGCTAAAGCCAATAGCATAAAAGAAAAATGGAGCAGGAGCGTGTGTAATAAGTCTTTTTTATAGGATAAGCCAGTAAATGAGTAACTAATCGGCGACGCCCATGGAAACCTACCTACACAAAAGTGGGTTTTTCGGAGTTAGAGATATAAGGATTGGGGGTTTGGGCCTCCAGTAACCTCACTCACAAGTCGACAAATGGATACATAACAACTATATCTCTGCTTATCCCTTTGCTAAACAGCAAACGCAATGCTATAGTATTATATAACAGCCTCGCTCCAAATGCCAATGTATCTAACACAGTCGCTTCTCTATTAAAAATAATTAGCTCTAATTATGCGACCTTAACCGCAGTAATTAATACATCCGACTTATTTTAATTATATTCAATGTCGGATCTAATTCATCAAACTATTCGTTTATTTCCTGAAACAGTGAATTTTTGGCGACCATTAATTTACCTAGTTTCTGTCCCATATTTTTGTTACTACTCGGTGTATGCGAAGCTAACTTTGGTATGCTGAAATGAAGACTTGAAAGGAATTTTACAGAATTATGTTGAAGACATTATCATAGATTGAGAAAACGATGTTATCATAGATTGGAAATTATAAAAATAAATTCAAGTCAAGGACGTTGAAAAAATGGCCGACACAGTCTCTTAAAATAACGACTGTAGCACCTGGCTATGATAGAATTATACGCAAAACATGAATACATTATTATACGAATTAATACGAAGGACATCTGTCATTTTCTTCACTACACTCACATAAAAACAAAACCGTTTTGGTGCTTCAATCATGTCTAAGTGACATTACATAGCATAACATCACGCCGTTTATTCCCGAAGCGGTAGGCAAAGGTGCACATTACGGCACTTAATGCCACTGTACAATGTAACACACACTTTTCACTAAATTAAGTAAAAACGCGGGTTACTCACGTGAATATACTGCGCGACGTCGCCGCGACCGCGCACGCTGCTCATGAGGAAGAACCCCTGTGGTTCGAAACTAGTAGAGCTTTTCGCAGTATAATCGCGTGAGTAACCCGCTATTTTACTTAATTTAGTATGTCTCACGATAGTTATTATAAAAACACAACATTTATGTTATGAGTCCCATGTAATAGGGGTGAGCCTATTGCCATATACCGGGCACATTTCCAGACTCCATGCTACTACTGAGATTTTTAAAAACCTAGTAATTCTTCACCCGACCCGGGAATCGAACCCGAGACCCCTGGCCGCACTTGCGACCACTCCGTCACCGAGGCAAGTGACATTATGTCCAATGTTTTTTCAACGTCCTTGATCGAAGTAATAAAATAGTAAGAAAGATAACAAGTACGGTAAAAATGCATTTTAATTGAAACTGTGTTTCATTTTTCGAACAAAGTTGTGCTAATAAATAACACGACGCGAATGAAACGCTTCGCAAAATAACACAAAAGTATTTTGTATTGTCTTTTAACATCATAATATCAGTCTGCTACCTACATTGATGTAAATTTTGATGATAGAAAATAAACGAGGTACATAATGAATTACCTAACAACATAGCCCATCTATAAAGTCGACCATGTGTGGGAGAGCCATGCTTCGGCACGAATGGGCCGGCTCGACCGGAGTGATACCACGGCCTCATAGAAAACCGACGTGAAACAACGCTTGCGTTGAGTTTCGTCGTGTGAGTGAGGTTACCGGAGGCCCAATTACCCCCCTCCCTAGTTTCCCAAATCCTCGAATCTTCCACAATCCTCAAATTCCCAATTCTTAAAAGGCCGGTAACGCACTTTGGTTTTTCGGGTGTCCATGGCCGGCGCTGATTGCTTACCATCAGGTGATCCATCTGCTCGTTTACCGGCTTATGCTATAAAAAAAGACAACTTTATAAGTCTAAATAAATAACATAACATAACATAACATCACGCCTTTTTATCCCCGAAGGGGTAGGCAGAGGTGCACATTATACCACTGTACAATGTAACACCCACTTTTCACTATTTATGTTATGAGTCCCATGTAATAGGGGGTGAGCCTATTGCCATATACCGGGCACAATTCCAGACTCCGTGCTACTACTGAGAATATTTAAAAACCCAGTAATACTTTGCCCGACCCGGGAATCGAACCCGAGACCCCTTGTCCGGTAGTCGCACTTACGACCACTCGGCCAACGAGGCAGTCTAAATAAATAGTCTAATTTTATCAAAGTTCCTAAATTTTTCGCCAAGTTCAACAAAAAATCAACTCTAATTTACAAAATTAACATGGCTTGGGTGGAGTTGGGAATCGTGTTCACCCTAATTAGGGGCGCGCTGGTAGCTTTGAGAGTAAGACAATAAATCAACCACCAAAAGTACCTACCTAAGTGTTAAATTGTATAAGTTGACCGTTGTGACTGTAATAAATAAATAAAACAAATAAACCTTTCCCTCTGCCTACCCTCAGCACGTGTTAAAAGAAATGACGTTACGTTAATTAAGTATTAAGCCAAAACCATGATATTAAACAGGACCTAGTTCCTTTAAACAAGCGTCGGCTATGGCTACATTCACTTAGGGCTTGGGCCACCTGTGAAAAATGCTCTAACTCTGAGATGTAATTTTGTGCTGGTAGCACAAAAATGGTATGCTCAGACCGGAAAGAACGGGTTACCTAAAATATAATTCCGCGCCCAAACTGAGACATCAGGGGCGTAGCTAGTGCCGTATCACTTATACGGGGCCCATGCACTTGCCTGCACCTGCACCCGCCCTAACGCACGTAAGCAAAAATTAATAAAAACTTTCTAATTTTATTTTATTTCAGTAATCGTAAAAGTAAAATTTTATAAACAATTTTTTCCCGCGTAAAGCAAGCCATCAAAGGTTGGCAGAAACTTTAGAAAAAGAAAGTTTTCTAATTTTCACACAAATTATTAGTTTATATTAAAACTTTCGTGAGACATACTAATTAATTATAATGTTTTCGACTTACTCACGTAACTGTTTGACGAGGAACTCGACTAGTTTCAAGCCATGCTAGAGGCTCATATTCATGAGTAGCATTCTGCGACCTGCGACGCGGCGACGCCATAACAAATCATTAGTAGGTATTATGCAAAAAAAATATCTTCAAAATGGTCCCTAAAGATATTTTTATACTGGGCCAGGCACGCTACGCCACTACGAGATACGTTGCAATAACCGACCATCCAGACGCCCGTAAAAGTCAGTAATAACTTGCCCAAATACCCTGCTTAAGTATCACATTATAACTATTCAGTTTACAAAACAAGATTTCTTCGTTTTTGTAATAAACTGTCGATGTCGTTACCAGGTTTAATTTTATCGACATTTACTTCATCTCTATTCTTCTATGCTACTTCTATCTTAGTCTATGGTCTTATCCTTCAACAACTTCACTTTGACAATGATAATTTGACAGCTATTGTTATTGTTTTGGTTGAACACGGTATCTGTGTCTATAAGGTTATTTTCTAAAATTGTTTACTGAAACTACACCATTATGAACGCAAGAAAACTGTGGGGTGAAATGGAAGACGAGAGAACGGATGAGACGTTACTTCAGAATGTCAACTTTAATCCAATCATAGAACTGGGTATGCAAAACATTCCCGAAATATCTATCACTGTGAAATCTTCGCCTATTGAACTACCAAAGCAAAATCTAATAACTCATACCATACAGCTACATGCACATGCGAGGCAGCTATCGAATATTCTCGAACAAGCTGAAAATGCCTTATTTGAGGGTGCAAGGATTGGGCCAATCACCTTACCCATAGAGCCACCAGAACCTGAATTAAAACTAGAACATGACACGACCCCGCCGATTAATTTCCTTGAAAAAGAATATTGTGATTTTTCACTGGGTAAAGGACCCATGATTTTGCCTTTCACACCCGAGAGTCACAAGCGAGCGCTACGACAGTGCGCGGCCATAGCTCTTGGTCATGTTGGTGTAGCGACCACCACTAATGTGGTACTAACTGCCGTAGCAGATGCTCTAGATATTCATATGACTAATATGTGCAAACTACTCAGGACTGTAGTGGATAAAGAAGCCAGTGGTCTAAAATCAGGATTCCCAGATGCAATCTCCAAGGTATTTTCCGACCTCAATGTTGGTAACCTTCATGAATTTTATCAGAACAGAGTTGTGAGGTATCATGCAATGACAAAAAAGAAATGTGAGGATTTGAGGATTCAGTGTGAAGCTCTGGCTATAAGGGACATAGCACCACAGTTGAAGTTAGAAGAGGTACCAGAGTTACACTTTCCTGCTGCACTGGACGGGGCATTCACTCCATCCTTAGAGCCGGGGTTTCAAATGCTGCACAGTCTGGAACAAGAGGGCTTGGAGCTGCTTGAGGCAGTAACATCAGATGACATCACCAAAATGGATGCCATGGAGTTCTCACAACCAGAGACTACAGCGAAACTTCCTTCACTATCACCCAGTGCAAAGAAAAAAAGAAAATAAATTTTAACTTTTACGTCTGGTAACTAGGATAAGTGTATAAATTAAGTTATATGTATTAAGTACTTATATAAAAATAAATACCTTTATATGACTACAAGGTAGTTTTTGTTTGAAATGTTTAAAATAAGCTTCATCAGCAGCTTTGCCTACATAAAATTTAATATTTTGTCTTAACCCTGTACAAATAATCAAGATAATTGGGTAAAATGTACTTAATCAAGTTAGTTTCAAATCAGTCAGATAAAAAGTAGGAGTCCTCAAATATTTTTTCTACATGACATAACATCACACCTTTTATCCTTGAAGGGGTAGGCAGAGGTGCACATTATGCCACTGTACAATGTAACACCCACTTTTCACTATTTATGTTACGAGTCCCATGTAATAGGGGGTGAGCCTATTGCCATATACCGGGTACAATTCCAGACACCGTGCTACTACTGAAAATTAAAAAAAAACCAGTAATATTATACCCGACTCGGGAATCGAACCCGAGACCCCTTGCCCGGCAGTCGTACTTGCGACCACTCAGCCAACGAGGCAGTCACAGAGGCATTAACATTGCAATTTTTTTTTTATTATCTGCATTATTTAAATTTTTCTCATTGTGTCCTTCAATTCACTAACAGTTTTCGCATGTGAAAATGGGAGAGGTCTAGCTTTTGCCCCTGGTGGTAACCAGGGAATTGTAAACAGAGAACAAAGAAATAAGTGATTGTTCTCTAACACAAATAAAGTTAAAAATAAAACATCATTTAAAACATAGCACCAAATAATTTATTCCAATTACTGTGTTAGATAACAAATGTGCTGCCAAAACACGGATAATTACACCACTTTATGTACAACATGCAATACGATTGTCTCTGATTATACACAAACAATTACTTGGTAGTCAAACATCAAACAGGTCCCTTCCAACCAGATTTCATTGCTATATTTTACATCAAGTCAAAACATTTATCACAATATTCTCATAAATTCTAAATACTAAGGCACTATGTGAAAATTCCTAAAAATATACTATGCATTCCTAATTAGGTTTACTGATCAAAAGTTTCAAGACAAAGTAATTACGTTGTTATTTACACTCTATAAGAAATATTAAGAAAATGATTAAAACAAATAAGTATGTATGCCTAGTAGCAAATTAATTATTATAATATATGCAGCACACAACTAAATCTACCAAAATGTCATGGCGCAAACAGTTGTTTTACTTAAAAAAATAATGACTATTACAAGAAATAAAAACAAGCATTGATCTAGAAGAAAAATTATAATTATTGTACTAGTTCACAGTTGTATGTCCTTTTGTGATCTAGATCCATGCTTCGTTTAGCAAAACTTAATAATTATGGAATGAAGATCAGAGAAGCCCATAAAATATTGAAAGTATGACTATTCTGAGCTAGTTGACATGTCAATGTTGCACTGTCAATGCCAAAAAATTATAACTGAAGTATGAAATGATAAAAGTAAATGAATATTGAATAATTATTTTGAATCAAACTTTGATTATGCTGGTAATACAATCATGAGTAATTAAAATATAACATAAGCACAAATCAATTAGTCTTACACAGAATATTTCTATAACACTTACAATTTACAAATAAGAATTGGCCGTATCATACCAAACTTTTATCATTTCATAGTTATCATTTGTCTTTTAGTCAACAATATTTGTATGAAAGGTAAGAGATTCATAATTAGTTAGATGGGCATTATCAATTAAAGCTAGTATTAATCCTAATATCAGTAAAAACTATACATTTACACCTTGCACCACCTGCTTTCTATTCACTTCATTTCTTTTCTTTCTTTCGCCTAAATAGCAGGATGTGAGGTTCTGCAAAATAAAATGGTGTTGTAAATAAAACAGCAGCACTCTAAAATAGAATACAAATTACATCATTTTCCATCTTTGCTATTTGTTTAGAAATAAAATTGTGTTACACACATATAAAAAATCAATTTCTATTAGATACCTTTAAATTAAGGATTGAGAAGTTTAACAAACTTGAATTCAATAGAAACTTTATTTATTTTAATTTAAAAACGCTTAAACATACAGTTCAACAACACATATGGCAACAAATAAAAAGGTACAAATTATTTTATAAGTCCTACGTACCAGGTTGATGTGTCATGTAGTGCACCCACCCTTGGCTCTGCTGCACACCAATACCACGCCACTCCTGCTCCGACATCAAGTGGTTCTTGGGAACCAGCTTCACCATCTCCTTTGGAAGAACTACATGCCTGAAAAGATAACAAAACATTCATAAAACAAGTCTGTTCATATAAGAACATTTTTATAATGTAGATATAAGTAATTCAAAAATTTAAATGTTTCTCATCAGATCCACACAATAAGTTAATTTATCATATAATAACTGGCCCACAAGTTTCTAGAAATAAAAAATACTGAACGACTATGACCAACGTTTTAAGGAAATAGTTTTTATAAAGAGAACTTACTAGAATACCATGACAAGTTGACCATCATGAACATTGAATATCTACTTTACGACTGATCAAATTTAAATCAAAGCTTTACATATAAGAGATTAGAAACCTAGTTAAAATAAAAATAGCGAAATCCTCAACGTAATCATTAAAAACCTTTAGCAGTTATCAGAAACCAACTGAACTACCCCATTGGAGCCCCCATATATTTCAATGTTGAATAGGTTATAGTAACTATTGTCTTCACTTCGGTCATAGTTTTAATACTGTAAATTAAATGAATTCATTACCTGTATTCATGTTCTTCATCGTAGTATTTCTCAGAGTAATAAATTTCTCTTCCAGACATGATGACAGTCACAGAATATCAAACCACCGATATGCAAAAAATTGGCTGTTTTAATAGAAACCGAATACTTTGCAATATATCCCTGAACTTAGAGATACAACAACGCTGTTTACAAAACAATTACTTCGCTCAGTTTTCTAGAAACTCACAAAGAAAACTCGAATTCGTAACAAACACGACTGAAGAAGCGTTAACGATTTCAAAATTCGAATGTTGAATATTGTAGTGTTGCCATTGTCAGAATTTAGAATAAAAAATTGAAAAACCGGTAAGTTCCAAAAAAATAGATGATATTCTCGATATATATATAAATCGAATAACATACATAAAGGGTTTTTTATGCGTTAGCGATTTAACTTTGTATAAAACCAAATAAGGACGTTCAATTTCAATAATTGAATTTGATTTAAGCATATTTTTACCAAAAACTACATTAGCACTGTAAAAAAAATTATGCGAAATTAAGCAAATGCTAGCCCGTTTTGCAAGCAACCAAGCAACTTCGTCTGCGTTTACTTGTCTACTGCATTTTTTTGAAAATATTTCTTAATAGATACAGCTTTGTAATGATAAATATCGTTATCGGTCTAATAGGGACCGATATCCAAAATTGTCTGTAAAAATATTACAAACTAAAACACAATAATTTTATTACTTGGAGAATTAAAGATAGGTTTGTGTGCAATATGTGTTTAGTCCAGATATGTGTATTCCATGTTCCATCACGTCAAAACTGTTCAAGGGATCGAGATGAAACTTGAAATTGGAATGTTTATGTAGGCTTCTTTTTATACCACGGAAACACGGACCAAGCCGGTGGCGAAGCTAGTTGGGATTATTTATTAACCAAGTTAGAATTTTTTACAATTCTAATTAAATTTAGAAAAACCTTGCGACCACTCTGCCTCTTTGGCAGAGTGGTCGCAAGTGTGACTGCGGCAAGGGGTCTCGGGTTCGATTCCCGGGTTGGGCAAAGTATTACTGGGTTTTTTTCAAAAAATCTCAGTTGTATCACGGAGTCTGGGAATGTGCCCGGTATATGGCAATAAGTTCACCCCCTATTACATAGGACTCATAATATAAAATAGTGAAGTGGGCGTTACATTGTACAGTGCTGTAAAATGCGTGAACTTATGTTATTTAGAAAAAAGGTCTTTGTTTATCTGTAGGTATCCTAAAAATTAAAACATCAGGTATATCAAAATACTTTAATATTTTAGTCACCATATCATATCACAAAAAGTATTTTCAGTACTTATATTTTTCAGGATTTTATCACGACTTGGTCATGATTTAAGCTTCAAATATATATAAAAGAAAGTTGTGTTAGTTACACTACTTATAACTCAAGAACGGCTCCATCGATTTGGATGACAATTGGTGGGGAGGTAGATTAGAACCAGGAGACGGACATAGGATACTTTTTCATCGAATTTTTTTTTACTTTTTCCGAAAATCACGAACGGGAACGGGAAAGAACGGGATTGCGCGTACGAAGTCGCGGGCAGAAGCTAGTTATATAATAAATGAAAAAGAAATGCTTAAATATTAACAACTTAAAATTAACTACAACTAAACCTATGAATAGGTCCCTATTCAAAAGTAGGATCCGCAACACCAGCAAGGAAGTTTGTCGCACAACACTGACAAAATTATGAACCCAAGCATAGCTTGAAAGCAATCAGCAAAGTTATCTCATCAAATACATGGTTACGTAAGCCATAAAACATTTATTTGTTTTTAGTAGAATATTTGTTTGTCCCTACTTCAGTCCTAAATTGATAACTAACACAATCACACAATACAAATAGTTAATACTTAGACACAATAAATAAAACACTTAAAAACAAAAAGTCTAATAAAGCCCCTGCCCTCTCTGCCAGAGGTAGCCAAGGAAGAGGTGGAGAGATCGGCTCAGCGTCTTATATCATATATTATTTATGACGACACAATGCGCGACGTAGCAACGGATCGACGGACAAGAGACGAAGCAGGAGGGTGAGTCATGCGCTGCGTCGACGGATAGTCATCACGTTTGTATCTGAGATGCAGCACAACACAGGGCAATTGATAAATGAAGCTTTTTTTTAAGGGGCGAAAATCGTCGAATGACTGCTCCCGCCTGGGTGAGACGGGAGGGAGTATCAGACTCTTACTGACTAAAAACCACCCCGTTCCTACTCCTGCACTTCGAGCCAAAGCCCCCGGTAATCCGTTAGGTTCTCTGCGACTTAGGATAAATGAAGCTACACTCAATGCCTCATACAAAGTATCAAAATCAAAAACAAAATAAATAAATAAAGGAATGCGACAAAAAAACTTTAGTCTGCATGAGTTTTGACATGCTTTTCTAGTTCACTTTTCTTCAAGAAATCTGCTGGGCAATGAGCACAGGTGTAGACGCTTTTGTTATGTGTCAGTTGCATGTGCCTTTTTAGATCGGCATTGCGCCTGAGTCGTAGTCCACAGGTACTACACACGTGAGGGCGCGCCCCGGTGTGTGTCAGCAAATGACGTTTTAAATCACTGCGCGTAATAAATGCACGGCCACACGTATCACACTCGAAATTCTTTTCGCCTGTATGTCGCCTGTAATAGATAAGGATAAAGTTTTTAACTTTGTTTGAAACAGACCAAAATGTTCTATAAAACATATTATACCATCAAGAATAAAATAAGTATTTACTATATTTTATTGTTGAAATTGTGGGCTCATATACTGAATTTTAATTTAGCCCTAACAATTAACTTGGAGTACAAATTTGCTTTGAGGGAAATAAAGAATAAATAACTGTAAGAGAATCAATAAAATTAAAATAAGAAGATTTTTACCGTGTATGGTACTGAAGGTGTCCAATGGTACGGAATGAACGGGGACAAAGTTTGCACACATAGGGTAATATTCCAGAGTGTTTCCGCTTGTGTGCAGCTAATCCAGCAGACTGAGCAAACGCATCTCCACATATAGGACAAAGTAGTGGTTTTTCTCCCTGGAAAGACAATTACAATATATAATGAACTCCTTGGTGTGACCTACTTGATATTAAATCATATGATTGTAAATATTTCTATAATATATCAACTTAAAGGAGGTTTATACATATAAAATCTAAGAATTAGACATTAATTGGGAACTAATAAAAGAATAATGGTAAAAGAAAATTTATAAGTAATTACTGACCGTATGCACTCGCAAATGCACTTTTAAGTTCTGTGCAAGAGAGAAGTTCTTATTACAATGAGGGCATGTGTAGGGGCGTTCCCCTGTGTGCGTTTGCATATGAGTCTTGAGACGAAACCTGAAAAGACGCCTGATAAAATGTTAGTTGCAGGATCAGCAAAAATTGTAGACATCTAGTAATACACTGCAAGTTTTGTACTGCAGTCACTGGTGATTGTTTCCCATTTACCCCATTATAGACATTATTTCCGATATTGAGAGACTACTTTTGTATGAACAAATATTGTGTATTTTTCATAATCGTGGAATAAGAAGTTAATGACTTTATTGGTTATGGTAACTGCCCAGCAAAAAAAAAGTTTTGTAACAGAAAAAGTAACGTAATACGTGTACCAAAATACGACGTGAACATCTATATTATGTAGCTAAAGGTACCTGCTCCATCCTGGTTCCAATTTGGGACGAGTAAAAATACCGAATTCGAGGAAATTTTGAACAAGAGTAGCTAACGTTTCTTCAGAAACGCGCACTCCGAATTCCGCGCAGTAACGTTTGACTGTGTTTTGGGCATTATCACCACAACGTAGAAACGTTTTCATCATTTCCGTAAATGCCACATCATACGGCTGATCCATTTTAAAATTGAATTTAAAACCAAAATACAAAACCAATGAAGATTGCGACAAAAACAAAAAACCAATTACATTTACAATAAAGTTTGACTTTGACATTGACATAACCAACTTTTAGGTATATAAAATGTTGGCATTTCAAAATATGGCGTAGAGTGCGTAGATACTTAATATAGTGTTGCCCAATATGAAGGTAACTTTTTGATGACTTGCTATGTTCTTTCCGTTCTTTCTATTTAAAAAAAGGAAAATATAATGTAATTTTTCAGACTATTATATTAAAAGATTCAGTCGCACTCGCTACTATTCGACCAACGAGGTCACAGGTTCAATTCCCGGGGAAAGCAAAATAGTGACATCGTATTGAGTTTTTTTAGGGGTTTGTTGAAAATCATCCCCTAAATTTGTTCATACAAAAGTAGTTTCTAAACATTGGAAATAAGGTCTATAATGTAGTTAGTGGAGAGTGGTCAGGTCACCGGTGACCGCTTTATATACGGAACAGCATGGAGTCTGGAATTGTGCCCAGTGTACAGCATTAAGCTCATTCTCTAAATAATATTATGTAAATACTTAACTAATAACCAATAGCAAGTAGGTGTGGTATGTAGTGGTAGGTAGTGTTATGTTATTTACATATTTTGTTTGTAGTCTATCATCCTCTTTGGGAGTCAAGAGTGTTGTATTGGGTTATGTAGGGTGACAAATTACTGTAGTCTGTAACTTCTTATTCTTTGTAAATAATACACTTCAAAAAGCATTTAATATGTGGATTACTTGCCTAGAAGACATAACTTTACCGCAAGTAAAACATTGTTGTTTACGAGACTTCTTTTTTTCAGTTCTTGGAATATCGTGTTCTATTTTTGTTTTCAAAACTATTTCATTATCCAGAAACTCTTCATTTAAAGTTGTTTGGTCTATCAAACTGTGATCTATGCTTTCATCTATAAATAATTTCTCTGCCTCACTCTTAGGTGACAAAGAACCGTCATTTTCAGTAATATAGTTATTACTATCTGGATTAATTCTTATATTTCCTATCAATAATTTAGCATCTGTGCTCTTATTTTCTAGTAAGGATCTCAGTTTCATATCAGAGGATTCACACAGGTCTATAAATTCTATGCTGTCATCCAGTTTCTGAACACATTTTGAACATATTGTTTCTGGAAGACCATCTCCTGGTGCTATCTAAAACAAAATTCGATAAACAATGTTATAGATGTTACATTAGTGTCTAGAAAAGAAAGATTCTGCTAAAATATGACTTGTACAACATACAAATTATTACAGACCGAATTAATCATCCAACCTGCTGATCTCTACTGTTTCACTATTTAATTTACTGTTATGTTTTTCACAAGAAATTAAATTATGGATAACAATGTTATAGTTAACTCACATGTACTTTTGCTACAGACATTAATTTAGCAGATATAGAAAGGAATTCTGATTTTTTGAAAATATTCACTAAATAATCATGACTTAAACAAACTCTACAAATGTTTGTAGTCATTTTTATCTTATAATAGCACGTAATTTTAATTGTTTTGAAATGATTAAACACTATCCAATTCATAAATGTAAACAAATATTCCTTTGACAATTTGACACTGACAGTTTTTTATTTTTATTTTGATGGATCGATGAGTCTAATTACGATAGCGCCAATGAGCCATGAAAATTAAATGGTTTAAAAAACATTTTAAACATATGTTTTGGTAATGGAATATTAGTAATAAAATACCCAATAGGCTGATAAGTATTATACAAATACAATAAACTAAACCCGGAATTTCGTTGCAATAATTTGTTGTTTTGAAACGAATATCCGAAAGTCACTTGAACGTCTTGAATAAAGAGTATAATAAGTGGTCTTGAACTTATTCAACAAGGCCTTGTCAAGTAACTTTCTCTTCTTTGCACTTTTAACTTTTTTGAAGATCTTTAATTTTGTGCAATAATGTCTGTAAAACTCTACCATTTTCCTATCAGTGGACCTTCCCGTGGAGCTCTACTGGCAGCTAGAGCAGTAGGAGCCCCGGTGGAAGTCGAGATTATTAATTTATTCCAAAAAGAACAGTTAAAAGAAAGTTTTTTGAAAATAAATCCTCAGCACTGTATCCCCACGTTAGACGATGATGGTTTCATTTTATGGGAGAGTCGAGCCATTGCAGGCTACTTGGTCGATAAGTATGGGAAGGATGATCACCTGTACCCAAAAGATTTGAAAAAGCGCGCATTGGTCAATCAAAGGCTGTATTTCGATAGTTCTTCTTTGTATGTCAAGATTAGGGCAATTTGTGTATGTAAACATCTTTTTAATAACTACTCAACAATAGGTACCTATTATTAAGAATTTTATTGATGTTGTTCTTGTCCATTTTATTTTCCAGTTCCCAATATTGTTTCTTGGGGAGACAGAGATAAAGAAGCCATTGAAGGATGATCTGAATGTCACTTTGGGTTTCCTAGATCAGTTTCTGAAAGACAGTAAATGGGTTGCTGGTGACCAACCTACTATTGCAGACACATCTATCTATGCTTCTGTGAGCAGTATCCTGGTAAGGAGACTGAATATTTATTTATCATTAAACATTATTTTAAAAATATTTATTACCGTAAAATGGGGTGGATAGGGATCGAGAAGTGAATAGAGACAGAAGAGGGGTGAGTCGATATTGGGTAATCTTTCATAGCATCAATTCACCCCTCTTCTGTCCCTATTCACATCTCAATCACTATCCACCCCATTTTACTGTAGTCACAAAAGTTTAATATATAATTTCTTTGAGGTGTTTTTTTTATTTGTTCTTTTTAATTGTTCTCTAAGCCTTATTCTCTATTTCAGGCAGTTGGTTGGGACATATCTGGATTCCCATCCATTGTAAGATGGGTAGATCAATGTTCTTCATTACCTGGTGCAGCAGAAAATGATGAGGGAGCTAAAGCATTCGGAGATGCTGTGAAAAAGAATCTGCATTAAAAATCAATTTTTCTACAAAACATGTATATTGTTACATATTTTAATATATTATTTTTATACTTATGTAATATACAACAAAATGACTGCAATATTTTAAATTGTAGTTTGATTTAAGTTCTATGAGCTAGCTATTATAAGTATGATGTCCCGTTCACATGTATTGTAGTATTGTACTAAGAAATGATTGACTGACAGGAGTAAACATCCTACAACCCTCATGTGACAGTTGGAGCCAAACTCGCTTTATAGAGCCAATCTCATGGGAACCAGGCCATTAAGCTGTTAAAGGAACTTGCAACAAATATTGCATAACAGAAATATCAACATTATCGAAAAAACTTAAAAACTAATTGTTGTTCATTCCGAACCTTCCTCTTTAAAACAACTTCAGATTTATATCCATAACCAGACATTATTTGAACAACTTCATCAGGAATGTTTTCTTCAATAAGCAGCAGGTAGAAGACTCCATTATTGGCTAGTTTCTTTGGTATCATGTTGAGTAATCTGTCGGTAATTTCGCGTCCTTTTGTACCCCCAGCCCAACTAGCCGTAATGTCACTTCCTCCACACTCCTCACTCTCAGTAACCACATATGGTGGATTGAAAATGATAACATCGAACACATTATCAGTAAAGGAAGTAGTCAAGTCCATGTTGCATGTATCTAACTTAACTTTGTTGTAAGCAGCAGTTTGCTTGGACATCACACAAGCCTTGAAATTAATATCAGTGCTCAAACAAAATGTTTGTGGGAAGGCCATACCAAAAGCTGTAATAACTACACCACTTCCAGACCCAACTTCTAAGCAAAAAGTGGGGTTTTTCTTCTTTAAATATTCTAGGTCCTTCTCTAAGGCATCTATGAGTAGAAAGCTGTCTTCTGCAGGCTCATACACATGATCAAAGTCAGCCTTGTCAATGTGGTTCTGATAGGGAGTCTCCATGTTGTCAGTTAATGCTTCCTCTGTCTGTGACCACTCCGCTAGTGCTCTGTTCTGGCTCTGGAGGTGGCTGCTCCGGTAGTACTGTAGTGCGTACACTCTTCTCCTTGCTCACCATTCGTCTTATCTCATTGAGTCTATCCTGAAAAGTGAGGTGAAGGCTTTTAAAATTCAATATACATATATACAATATACATATAATAAAATAATACAGGATTATATTTTTCTTTTTATACTTTTAGTTAAAGTTACTCTATAAATACAAAGGTCACACTAAATACAAAAGAGTGTGTCTTATTGTAAAAATAAGCACTGTAAATTAAATATAAGTTCTGATTTTAAATTTAACCTGTGAAGCCTGCAGCACATTCAGCACCACAGTGACCTTGTGTTTGCAAGATATCAGCTTTTTCACATATGGGTCTAGATCAGGATGGTTGTTCAGAGCCTCGCGCACGTTCTGCAGCTCCTCATTCAATGAGTCTATCTGCTGCTTCAACTCCAATTGAGATATCCTGGAAATAAATTCAATGTTTCTTGACACATGGAAGGTAATTCAATTAAATTTATTACAATGACCAATTTTGTAATCGATAAATCTTGTGTATTTTGCATTTGAAATCAATATTTTGATTCTGTTCACATTGAAAGTGTTTTGATTCTGATCATACTGAAGGTGTCATAGAAATTAAAATATTACGTATTTAGGGACAAACAAGTACTACACAATAAAATTTTACCTCGTAGCCCTTACTCTGTCGTCGAGTTGGTCTACAGTAGGCTTCAAAAGGCCAAGTAAACCTTCCGCCAAAGTATCCCTTGTAGGGTTGTCGCACAAATTACCAGTATTCTCATCAGCAGATGTTGTAGTACTCTCAGTGTCGTCCATTTCGTAGGATCACTGATTCATAATACAGCAGAGACGTGTATAAAAATATGAATTTACCTATTATATTAGTTCACGATCCACAATATCTACTCGACACGACAGTAACAGTACCGTTTGACATTTTTAGTTAATGACATTGACACCCGCTTTACGTTTTCAATGTCAAAATTATTTTATTTATTAGATTGGCAGTACTGATTTTTGTAGCTGCGTTCAAAATAATTTAAAAGAAAGAGGATTTAATCTTGCCATACGATACAGTTATCATTTCCTATTACAAATGAGTAGATACCGAGGCAAAATTCAAAACCTTTGCTCAATAAATATAAATACAATCAGATATATCAGCTGAGTTGCTGTTGGGCGCCACCGCCGCTGCACCAGCCGGCGCACGCGCGCCTGCAGCACCAACTAGTATTTAGAACATGCTATTTGAATATACTAAATGACTTATAATGCTGAGCAAAGTTGGTTTTTTATGCTAATGGTTCACTTAATTAAACTCTTCTCGCCTGATCTGGTGGCAAAGGATTTTCTGCGCTAACATCATGGCCACATATGAGAAACTATTACTAGAATAAATCAAGGATTTGTTACAAATAGTTTATTATTATAACAAGGAGGCACATGCAGGGCAGTTCATCACCTAAGTAGTACTATTGATATTATTGATTAAGTACTATTAAACTAATGACTATAGTAAGTTCAATGTTTTTACACATGAGGTACTACATGCTACTACACATGCTATTAATTGATCAGTTCCTACCTATATTGAGCAAGTTACATAATGTTCAGTCGACAAAGTTACAGGTATTTTTTTCTAAAAAATGTTTAAGGTAAATAAAGCTTATAAAAATAACATGTCTGTGGGTGCTTAGTCCACACAAAACTTATTGTTATGGCATCAATACAATCAGTTAAAATAAATAATTTGATCAATTAACTACCTACCTAGTGACAATTATACTAATGCAATTAACTATTTTTATTAATGTCAGAAATATAAAATTATCTACATTTTTGGCGGCGCGACGTTTGACACTAATTCTATTCTAAATTAAGCTAGTAGGTACACTATATTCCAGTTCACATGGTGTCCATTAACATTTTCATTTGTTCTTTTACGTGTGTTTCCATATCTGCAAAGTCTCTCAGAATGTCTTCAATCATTTCAACTAATATCGTCGGCCATTGAACTTCGAGAGCTTTCAGCCTTTGCGCAGCACCACAAGCTAAATCGATTGCATGCGATAGTTGTCCACGTCCCCGAACACGCCAGCTCATATCCTCCTGTGATATTAAAAACCATAAAAATCATAAAAACATAACATGATAGGATTATTTACGATGTGTGTAACTAAATATTTTGTCCTACTCCTAATCCTACCTGTTCTAGTAACCTACCTGTTCTAGTAACCTACCTGTGAAACATTTCCTTTTTTGTACTGCAAGGCTTCTTTTGCAATAACGTCTCTTAGTGCAGGATCAGCTGCTCTTAACCAAGCTTTGGCACTTACAGCACTGTTGCCACTTCGTCCTAGTCTCGATAACAATGGTTGTAAAGGAGCATCAGGGATAGCCCTGAGGACTATGTCACTGAGACCTGCGTATGTCCTATTGGCCGTCTTTATTTCTTCGTCAGTTACCTACACAAAAAAAAAATTTCTCAATATTTCCCTTCTTGCTTTATTTTTCCATGTTTATGAAAAACTACTTACAGGTTCATCATTTATCTCCTTTAGTCCCCAATGAGCAAGTCTATAAATAGCATATTCTCTCCATATTTTTGCATAAATCGGGTTTCCCTCCGGTAATACTGTAAGCCCAGTAACACCTCGAAGTTCCGCTAAAGCGTGTAATTGTCCAAGCCATTGGAGCCCTGTCGCACGAACTGAGATGTGACTAACATTTGGAAACCTGGTAAAATAAAAATAAATGGATGATAACATTACCCACATTTTAAATTATTACCTGTTTTGTATTTTGTAGGTAAAAAGGGCCCATTATAAATTTATAATTTAGAGTAGTCGCCCGTTGATGATAATTAGGTATTCATTTAATTATAATAAATATACTAACTTGGATTTTAACTCTGGCAATGATTGTGCCACTGCATTGTAATGCACGTAATGGTAAGCAGCCCGAGTGACGGTACGGGCACGTTCCCAATCCCAATCACGAGCCAAACGCCTTACAGCCCCAGCACCCCATGCACTCACCACTCCGTCACAAACTTCTACTAAGTAATCAACTCCTGCAAAATAAATATGATTGCTGCAAAAATATATGAACCAAATGATTGAGAGAACCAGTTTCAAACTATTATCAAACAAATTACCTTGTTCTCTATCTTTGGATGCAGGCAATGATTTCGGCACAGGTTCTGAGGATTTGAAGTTAGCTAAATTCAAGTTTTTCACTGACTTTGTTCTTGCCGTAGATGCTCTGTTTGCTGATGATGCTCTTTCATTTCTACGTGATATTGTTGCACTCCTTATGTTTCTGCTTGTTCTACTGTTCAGAGATCCTTCCCTTCGCAATACTTTGCTGTTATGATCACTTCCTGAAGTCGAGGAATTGGCAACGGAACCAACGTTCGTGCTACTTGATATATTGCTCGCATTTTCACTGATATCAGAATTTTTTGATTTAGACCTACGACTCTCGGGGTCACAAACAGATTTTGACCTCATTGTACTGAAGTTTTCTCGTCGTCTTAAAGCTGTTGCCATTCGACGAATCGGTCTTTTCTTCGTCTCCTCTTCACTGTCACTGCTCGACGTAGGAAGTGAACTGAACGAAGAATCAACGACTGGTTCAACACTCGAAATACTTTCCCAACGTTTCAAAATCGGTTCAGAACTGTCTGCTAGTTTTACATTTTCCAAAGAAGATATAATTGGTAAGAGTATAGGAGGTAGTCTTAAATCACTACTGGTCGATGTAGAGTGAGAAGCGTCTGTATCTTGGGAAGCACTTCTATCAGAGAAGTTAACTCTTCTTTCAGATGGTTTTCTAGCGGTTGAACTTCTTTGCAACTTTCTCATTGGTGATGCTTTAGGTGCAATGTCGGTACTCGCCTTAGCATTGGCATCGCTACTAGTGTTTTTACAGTCGGAGTCTTCGGTTTCAGCTTGTTGTAGAGACACAACGACATCAGGAAGTGCAGCTGCTTCAGCTGATGTTTCAATACCACCGGGTGGTGTTATTACTGCAGTTGCGTCAATTGAAAATTCTTTATCGATATCCACATTCTTTGTTGGACTTGTTGAAGGTATAAAGCATTTATTTTCGGACCTAGAGAAAATATTTCAGTTTAGTCCTAAACTTGACATTTTAAAACAGTAGTATTTTGAATGATAGTATCAAAACTAAAGTAACCTCAGTAATTCCCAATTGGTGCGTGCGTTATTAATGATTTGATCTCGCCTGGCTTCTTGTTGGGCGGCTCCACCGAGTGCGCAGTAAGCAGCATGTGCGGCCTCTTTATTATTTCGCCATGCCATTGCAGCTCTTCGTACCTAAATAAAAAAGATTAAAAGCTTTTTCTGGAAGTATTTCAATATTAAAACCAGCTGTTTATATTACCTGTTCAGTAACGTGCATGTTGCTCAATGTTAGTAAATTAGGAAGGTATGAGACAAGGAACGGTACACAATCTCCACCTAAAGCCACAGGATTCCCATCCAAAGACACATCGATTAGAGAAACTGCCTCAGAAAGCGACGACATATCCTCTACACTGGAAGTTACATTGTTTAAGTTAAATATTTTAAAATAACTGTAGGTATTACGGAAAGTTATACTTGTAATACTTATTTTAAGTAAATGATACCTATAAAAATATGTAATTAACTAATTAATAATTGTCTCTCACCTTTGTAAATCGTTGTTACCAAGATACAATTTTTGTAATTTTGGCGTATTTTGAAATCCTAGAAGCTTTCGCAAGCGATTTCGTTTAAAATTCAGTTCTCTTAGTGATACAAGACCCTGGAGATCCGTCTGTCCGACACATTTGATCTGATTACCAGCTAAATTGAGCACTTTCAGTTCACTTAAGTTAGATAAACCGCAAACTTTTCCTATCCTATTTCCATGTAAATCTAAAACTTCTAATTTTATCAGATTGTTGAGGCCTTCAATCCTTTTTATCCTGTAAAAATTAAATTAATATGACTTTTGGTAAATATGTTGGTACTTTTTTGCTCTAAAAAGTTAGGCCTCTTACCTATTTTTTCCCATCAAAAGTACTCGTAATCCAAATAATCTTTCCAAAGAAGTTATTTTGTCAATTTGATTGTCATATACGTCGAGAAACACGAGTTTTCCTAAATCTAGTGGAGACAATCCTGACAAACTATTTATTAGATTGTGTTGCAATGACAGAAGTCGTAAACCGGGCTCCCCGACTATATGAGGTATTGATGAAAGGCCTCTCCTGAAAAACGTGTTTAGTTAGTACTTAAACTATTTACTGGACAAATAGTACGTAGTAGTAGCAGTACTAGCAGTAGGTTTGCCACATTATCTGGATTTCTCATTTGTGAACTAGATGTTGATTCATAAACATATGCTGGTGAAAAGTTCCTACTACAGTTGCTCACCCAGCATATAAGAAGGATGTGTTGTTATTATTTTAACAATGCATATGCACAATAATATTAGTACCTGTCAAGACTGATTCTATCAGGTAACCGATCTTTTTCCTGTGGTGTTCTAGAAAGTTGAACTTTTCCTTCTCCCACAGCTTGCAGATTAATGGCTTCATCTTTGCTATCTTCTTTTTGCACGAAATCATTTCTGTAAGACGAGTCACTTTAATAAATGCCCCAGGTAAAAATTAAATCCTACGAATGTTGGTCCATACCAAAAATAAATTGAATGAAAATTCTTTCAACTGATTACTTACAATGTCCTAGCTAATTTAGTAATAATTGTTTATCATAGCAACGTTTACCTACTTATTATTATTGCTAAGTTAAAACTTCAAATTTGATTTAATTATATTTTTAACTTACCCGGATAGCGTTGTATGAGATCTCTGAGCGAATGCTGCTCGTGGATCTGGTAGTGCAGGTCTAATTTGAAGGAATAAGCGACCGTCTCCACCACCACCAGGATCGACGCGAGGTCCACCAGCATCAAGAGACTGTGCTGATCTTCCTCTTGTTCGAAACGCGATCTTCCTTACCTGTATAATTCATAATAATGTTTAAACTGTTATAAGCACACTTCTATCGATTTAGGAGAAAATAAGTAAATTATCATATTTATGTAATATCGTATCACACATAAAAGCACTCTCATTTACTTACATTACCACGATTATAAGTAATAGGCATTATTCTACAATATTAGATACAATAAGGTTACAAAAACACGTAAGAAACAGTTGGCCCCATTTGATACAATTTTATTTTATGAATATAATTCGTACAAAAGGCAGTTTTGGTCCATCATAATTCATTACTTCAAAATCAGTTGCTTAGCTACAAACGGCCTTGATCTATTTTATAAGTTTAGCGGAAAATGAGGTACAACATTTTGTTAGTCAGACATATACCTAATTATTTTTACAATTAGAACTCAATTAACCAATGAAAGTGGGACAATAATAATGATTCAGTGGAATAATATATTATGGTAGTGAAACCACTATAATAAAGTATCAATTCAATAGGGGATCAATCAGTTCAATAGAGGAATTATGAACGCATCAATTTTAGCCCTATTATGTTGGTCAAACTGTAATATATTAATGTCAGTTTTCTGAATTTTCTGAAAACAAAACAAAACAAAACAATAGCGCATCTGATTGAGCGAAAGAAAGGTTTGCTAGAAGAATTATTTCTAATTTATTTTATTTTATTTTAAAGACTACTGCAAAGTTGCATTGATGCGTAGAAGTTTTGAAAAGGTGTCTTCAACTGTTCTTCGTACTTTTAAGAGTTTGCTAACAGCGGACCTATTGTCCTCTGTATCTACCTTTGAAGATAGAATGGTACGATTTTTTCCAAACCCATATGATGACTTCAAACCAGGAAGCTCCACAGTGATCGATAAAGATGACATAACTTCTCAAATACATGAACATACAAATAACATTTCTAAACGTCTCCATCCTACACGCAAGAATGTCGACGGAGGTTTGTACGTTGGCATCACCGGGGTCTCCTACATGTTCTATTATCTGTCTAAAAACCCATTGCTGTCAGATAATAAGGCGGTATACATTCAGAAGAGCCTTGAATATTTGAAGCCAGCTTTGGAATCGTCTGCTGGAGACAAGACTTCATTTTTGTTAGGCGATGCCGGCACCTACGCCTTGGCTACTGTCCTTTACAAAGAATTAGGCGATGAACATTCAGCTGAAATGCTGAAAATATACAAGTCTCTGTACTCGCATTATATGAACCCCAAGTTTCTAAAATGTGGGGGAGACGAGTTCTTTGTTGGACGTGCTGGCTATCTCGCTGGGATACTGTGGATGAGTCGTGAACTTAAAACAGCAATTTTCACTAATGATGAGTTATATAAGCTCTGTGACATGATAGTAGCTTCTGGAAGAGAATACTCCACTAAACACCAGAGCCCTTGTCCATTGATGTACCATTACTACAATACTGAGTATCTGGGAGCAGCACATGGCGTCAGCTTCATTTTACAGATGCTTATGTCAGTACCAGGTTACTTGAGATACAACAAATCTGCTGCTCAGGACATCAAAGCAACAGCAGAGTATCTTGCTTCCTTGCAGACTGAGGAAGGAAACTGGCCATGTTGTATGGAGGAAATTGGACTGACTGATCATAAGCTCCTGCATTGGTGCCATGGTGCAGCTGGTACCATTTACGTCATGGCCAAAGCTTATTTGATTTACAAAGACCAAAGATTCTATGATGCATGTGTGAAGTCAGGGGAGATTGTGTGGCGGAAGGGACTGCTTCGCAAGGGCCCTGGCATTTGTCATGGAGTAGGTGGCAATGGCTATGTCTTCTTACTCCTTCATAGATTAACAGGGGATGAGAAATATCTGCATAGAGCCAAAATGTTTGCAGATTTCATGACTACCGAAGAGTTCATAAGAGATGCAAGGTTACCGGATAATCCTGAGAGCTTGTATGAAGGCAGTGCTGGTACTGTCTGTTTCCTGGCCGACCTCCTAGTCCCTGATAAAGCAGAGTTTCCATTCCAAGATGTATTCTCTACTTACAATTTTTAAATGTGTCTTTGTTGAATGTGCTTGTCCTGAATAGTATTATTTATTAAAAACTTTTTTTGCAACCAGAATTTCTTCTTTTTCAAGTTACTGTCAAAGAATACTGCACTAAATGCATACTGTTTTATAAGTTTTGCTTTATAAATCCAGTGAATATATAGCATGCTCTTTTAAAGTTTGTCACAACTGAGGGCTATAAATGCTATAAATTCGTGCTCTTCATGGGTTCTATTGAAACCATAATAGTTACCTACTGTTTAGAAATTCGACATAATATTGACGTTAATAGGGGCGGGTGGTATCAATGTCAACAGAGTGGAGGCTTTCTTCATTTTATATTCATAATTTCAGTCAACTTGCTGACAGTAAGGGCGTCGTCTCATTGCGGCGTAACGTGTAGGTCCTCATCGGCCATCGATTCTCTTCGCTATGTGCCCACTGCCACTTCTGCTTGCTTATCTGGTGGGCTATGCCGGTGACTTTCATTCAATTCGTGATCTCCTCATTCCTGATGACGATCTCGTAAAGAAAGACCGAATACAGAGCATAGCCGTTTCCATAGCACGTTGTAATTGACCTTCCAAATTAGGCACATTGAAAGATCAAGTTTCTGTCGGTAGTTGTGTTATCAGTGGTTATAGACCTTAGTTTTGAGAACTTAAAATAGTTCAAAATGAAAATATTATTCGAGCCGATCGCAAGAAATGATAAGACTCTTCTTTCTTCATATTTAAAAAAATGTTGTCAACACAATTCAGTTTTTCAGAGGATCGACAGGCGATCAACCGAATCTATCATGCGCCGCAATCGTGTAGCGCCTTAACTGGAGGTAGTTATTTTATAATAACGCCCATTTTATTGTCATTCACGTTTCAAAGTTAAATTGAAAATCGCCATGAATTTAAACGATTTTTATTTATAAAATTATTGCTGTCTACCTTATTGGTCTTCGCGAGACACAGCGATGAAGTCAACCATTATTTAAATCCTTCCCTTACCATTATCATGAGTTTGCTGTGTAACTTACTACTAACTCTTTCTCTAGCAGATGTAAGACTAGTTATCGACATTTTTAAACTAAAAAACATTAAAAACGGTATAATTTTTCATTGTTACGATAACTATGTCGTGAGTAATGTGCATAAAATATTAAACGAGCAGGATATCTTGATGGCGAGCACTAAGATTGATTATAATGTAACGTATAATATAGCTACGTCTCATCCAAGGGTTGGATTAGTAATAGACACTTCCTGTGAAGGGTGGACTTCAGTATTAGACTCGGACACAATATCTTTTCAAGAATATTCTTTTATAGTTATCACGGAGGATCTTTCAGGGACTACAGAGATCTTATCTCAGTATCCTATAGAAGTGGATTCCGATGTTATTGTCGCTCATAAAATTAATCAAACATTTAACTTGTATGAAGTTTTCAATACTGGAACAAAATACAGGGGTACCTATAATGTTAGAAAGGTGGGTCTTTGGAATTCTTCACTGCTTATCGACTCGTTCAACCGATGGAACTTGCAAGGAGTGTTCGTGAAGACGGCGGTGATTATCCTCACGACTCCCAGGATAGTGAACCAGACTATAGAACAATATATGGAGAAACCTATTAAGTCACAGATTGATGTGGACACAGTGCATCGTATGAAGTACTTTATAATGTTGAAGTTTATGCGAGATATGTATAATATCAGGTAAGTGATCAACGGCTTACTGAAATGGTTATAAGCGTACCCAGCTTAGCAGATAAAAACTTTACTAAAGGTCAGTGGGCAGTTTGGGTAAGAATCAGTGTGTTATATGATAAATCGGCAGACTTGGAGCAATTAAAGATCATTAACTGTTTTTGTAGTTATGACATGCACCGCGTCAGTACTTGGGGATACCAACGCAATGGTAGTTTCGATGGCATGGTGAATGCTCTTTATCAAGGCATGGCAGAAATTGGAGGAGCACCTATATTCTATAGAATCGATAGAGGTCAACGTGTACAGTACATCTCTGAAGTCTGGATGTCAAGGTAAAACCGCGTAGATGGAAAGCCTCAGAAAATTTGTTAAAAATATTTACCCCTGAAGAGTACCTACCTAATATGAAGTAAGCTACCTAAGTAGGTTTGTTATACGTAACTCTCCTCCTCACTGCACTTTACTCCTGTGAGATCTATCTTCAAAATCAGTTTCTTCAGTAGACCAACCATATTGTATTCAATGACAATTACTTATTAAGAAACTATCCAAATCTTGCTAAAAGCTTCTTCGTTACCTACCAGACACAGTTTTCTCTTCCGCCACCCAAAGTACCCGGGCGGTTTCTACACGATCTACACGCGGCCTCTCAGTGACGTGGTGTGGTATTGCGTGGTCGCCATGCTAGCGGTGACTGCCATCACACTGTGGGTGATGCTGGTGGTGCAAAACCATAAGGGCGATAATGAAGACTCCTCGTTAAGCTTAGCTGGACTTGTGATATGGGGCGCTATTTGTCAGCAAGGTAAGTGAGATGGTTGAAAATTATTTTGAACATTCATAATTTCAATAAAGCGAACAATCGCTAAGTAGGTATACCTAACCAGAACCTATGTTTATTCAAAGATCACTTTAGAAATACACCTAAAACCAATGTTATTATGAGTAAGTAGTATGACTTTATAAACAGACCAAGATCTAATTTTATAGGACTCTCAATAAATCGTGAGTCGACGTCCACAAAGCTTGTGATATTCACGACATTCGTGTACGCGGTGACACTGTACCAGTACTACAACGCGACTATAGTATCCTCCTTACTGCTGGAGCCTCCCAGGAATATCAGGACGCTGAAGGATATCTTGGACAGCGACCTGAAGGCCGGCGCCCATGATATTGTGTATGATAGAGATTATTTCAAGGTGAGTACTTGAGCTTGTTATCAGTGTAAGTGGGTAAGTATCCTACCTAAGTACCTACTAATAAATTAAAAGGTTCTCATATACCTACCTAGGGAGGATTCCGTACCATACTTTCAAAAACAAAATGGCTTGTGGCGACAGTAATGTGTTGAAAAATTTTTTATGTGTTTTCAAGTGCGTAGCTCCGCCTGCGACCCTATATCGTTAGCACGCCTTTGATGTTAACCAGTAATATTTTGTAGTTTTAAATTAGTTGTGAATTGTGTATTTTATAAGACAAAGATATACCTATTTTATTTTGGACTTTCATTGAACACATGAACTATACTGGAGTCAAGTAAATTTAAATCAGAATACACACCACATACCAAAGGCTGAAATGATTCGGTTAAATTATTTGATTTCAAAATACCTACTCTTTGTAGAGTTCTAGTTCAACTAGTTCAAGGAAGTTTCTTATGACGATAAACATCTGAAAGGGGTCTAAACGAACATGTGAGTTCTATGAGTAAACTACCTATTAAGCATTTAATTTTCCAGCGCACAACAGATCCAGTAGCAATAGAACTGTATCACAAGAAGGTTGCGACAGCTACACACTACAACTTCTTCACGCCTGAGGAAGGAATAGCGTTGGTGAAGAAAGGAGGCTTCGCTTTCCACATAGACACTACTTTTGCGTTCCCACTGATTAAGGCGACCTTTACCGAGAGAGAGATCTGTGAGACCACCTTAGTACAGATGTACCCGCTGCAGAGAATGGGCGTCGTTGTTAGAAAACACTCGCCGTATAAAGAACATATTGCTTACGCGTAAGTATGGAAAAACTGCTGTATAAAACTCCCAACAGGTTCTTAGGTATCGTGTCTGAATGCTAGGCAAAGAAACGTGGAAGAATAAAGAAAAATATTCCATGTAACGGGGTTCACTTAATTATTTAGTGCTTTTACCTAAGAATGCGCGGAAGAATGAACGGGTTGAAGGAGGAGTACTAAGGGGCCCAGTATTATGCTGCCGTGTGTCCAATTTTATTCGGCTGTAAGTAATTAATTCCTAATATTACTAACGAAATGTTATTTCAGCATCCGAAAGATGTACGAAGTGGGTCTGCCACCTCGCATCCAATCAGAGATCGACGAGCCGATGCCCGAGTGTGCGCATACGCCAGATTCCAGTATATTTTGTGTCGGCATTAGAGAGTTTTCTACGCCGCTCCTAGCACTCACACTGGGGATGGTGACCTCTATTGTCGTATTATTTTGCGAACTTCTGTTTGATAGAGTTGTTAAATTAAGTAGTGTGCGAGAATTCAGGCACTAATTAGTGTAGGTTTAGTAACTTGATACCTAGTACCTAGACGGAATGTAATTAGAGCTGTAGTTTAGATAGTATTTTCTAGGTAGGACAGTAAAATGGATTATAATAGATTTTAGTAGTAATTTTCTGATTTTAAAATACAGAATATGATTATATATTTTGCTTAAAATTGTGATTATAAAAAAACAAACGCTAAATAATGAGAGCTGGTAATAAACAAGTCTTCAAATAAGATTGCAAAAAAAAATACATTGTGAATAGTGATGTGCCGTTCTCGAGAACGTTCTCCTACCTGAGAATATTGCCGGCAGCGTTCCCGGCAACGTTCTCCTAAGTGAGAATGACTGAGAATCATTTCTATCTAATGGGAACAATCATATTTTTCTAAATTAAAATAGTATCAAATGAAGTCAACAGATTATTGAGTATAAAAAATACACTTTATTTGCAGTAAAAGACTATATTCCCAGTGTTAGCAAATATTCTCGAGAATATTCTCGGGAACTTTCTCGGCAATGTTCTCAGCATTATTGTACCTTTGATAATTTTTTTGTGTTATATTGTTTAATTGATATTTACGATGACAGCACTTTCTTTTTACACGTATGGAAATAATGGACGGTTAAAAATGTCGTTTATTTGACATTAAATATATATTTGTTTTAGGTACAAATAAAATGGTCAAAATAAAACATTTCGCAATCAACTACGGAGTTGATTGAAATAACAGTGAAATTGATGTTTTCTAGTCATTAAACGGTTAATGAGACTAGAAAACATCAATTAATCTATACATATATAATTCAAAGGTGACTGACTGACTGACTGACTGACTGACTGACTGATATAGTCATACATGATCTATCAACGCACAGCTCAAACCACTGGACAGATTGGGCTAGAATTTGGCATACAGATAGATGTTATGACGTAGGCATCCGCTAAGAAAGGATTTTGATAATTTCCACCCCCAAGGGGTAGAATAGGGGATGAAAGTTTGTATGAAACTTTGTCAGTTTTAAACCAATCGGGTTGAAATTTGACATGCAGATAGATGTTATGACGTAGGCATCCGCTGTGAAATGATTTTGATAATATGCACCCCCAATGGGGTAAAATAGGGGATGAAAGTTCGTATAAGTAAGACTTTGTCAGTTTTAAACCGATCGGGTTGAAATTTGGCATGCAGATAGATGTTATGACGTAAGCATCCGCTATGAAAGGATTTTGATAATTTCCCATCCCCAAGGGGGTAAAATAGGGAAGAAAGTTTGTATGACACTTTATCAGCTATGAGCCACGTAACACAGTTTTCCAGCTCGATCAGTCTTTAATTTGTTCCTTTTCTGGGTATGTATGTTTGAAAATGTTGAGAAACTCCTTTCCACACCCGATGTTGAAATTATATATAATTTTTTTAGAGCCAAATCTGAGTTGGGAAAAAATACGTTCCATCAAGACAAAGGTTGAATCGTGGATGCTGATTCCCAAAGAAAACTTTTGTCGTAAATGCCAATTCATCCTTTGTAATTTGCTAAATCTTCAAGGATTCTTGGTCCGTTTGTCCCGTATCCACATTGTGCAATGTTCATTATTGCATGGCATCCATCGTGATTCGCGTTAGCAGGTAAAGTTGTAGCTTGGTTGTCAGGGTCCAAAATAGCGGCTGCAAAATGAACTGATTTTAATGCATTTTGTCCTCTTTGTGTACTTAGCCAATATTTCTTCTAAATGGTTTTCGAATATTTGGATTGCATTTTCGGAATGAAGCAAATCTTCGATTTCTGTAAACGCTTGGTGAATGAATAAATGAATTTTTGCCAAATGAATTTTTGCATCGTCACCTTCTAATTTCGTTATCCAATCTACTGTTGGCTTAAAAATGTTTGCATGCCGCTCTATTTCAACCTATGTAGCTTCATCCAAAATATTTTTCACGAAAAGAAATGAGCAGGACAGTAATATCTCACTTACTCACTTATACCTTGCTTCTAAGGACTAGTCCTAGCGGCGAGGTAATAAAACAGAAACACTGTAGGTACATAATATCATCTATGAACGTACAAAAACATCAAATTACAGAGTAAACTTATTTTGTTGAGAACATTAGAGAATATTCCCGGGAGCGTTCTAGTTTCTTGAGAATATTCTCACTGGCAATATTGCCGGCAACGAGAACGTTCTCAGTGGCACATCACTAATTGTGAATGATAAAGTAATGTAAAATATAGGTGATTAGTATCATTTTGCGAATGTTTTAAATTCCAAGTGCATCATACAAGGGCGGATCCACCGTTGTGGGCACGATGGGCATGCCCACAACCTTAATAGACTTGTGACGTCACCTTTTTACGGTCTATTGAGATCGATAGGCTGATGATAATGAACCTTAATAAAATTAAAAAAACACAATGAATCATGTAACGTGCGTGATTTGGAACGCAGCAAAGAGCCATAGACGATATGCTGACATGTTATTACTTATGTCACATTTTTGACAACTTATTGCCGTGCCGCCAAAACTTCGAGCCGCGTAGCGAGGCGTCTGTGGCGCTACTTAATGAGGATGCTTAAAAATTTTGAAACAATAATGTCACTTTGACATGCTCTGTCAAAAATATCCAATCACAATAAAGCTGGACCTAACGTCTACGTAATGCCATCTAGCGGATTTGCCGCGCCAGATAAGTGCGTGGCGGGATGAGCTCCGGCGCGATCTCATGGCGGAATGGCAGCAACGACTGTCGCAACCGAGGGCTGGGCTCGCTGCCATTGCAGCGGTAAGTCCCCTCTTTGAGGAGTGGCTTGAGAGACGCTACGGCGTCCTCACCTACCGCCTGACGCAGGTCCTCACCGGACATGGAAGTTTCGGGAGGTACCTGTGTCTGATGGGGCGGGAGGAAACGCCCGGGTGTCATCACTGCGAGGACCACCCTGAGGACACGGTGGAACACACTGTTGCGGAATGCCCTGCGTGGGCTGAGCACCGCCGTGCCCTCAGGGAAGTGATCGGCGATGGAGACCTCTCGCGTCCGGGCCTAGTGCAGGCCATGATGCGGAGCGAGGACTGGGATGCCGTCTCCTCCTTTTGCGAAGCAGTCATGCTGGCTAAGGAGGAGGCGGGACGCGTGAGGCAGCGAAGCGCTGCCTCCTCGCAACCCAGCCATCGCGAAGGACACACCGGGCGTCGGGGATCGCGGGACGATCTCCAGCCACCGTAAGCGCGGGCCTGCGGACGGCGAGCATGGGTGGCTCCCCGTCCGACCAGAAACAGACCCGAGCGTACGGCGCGTCGCGTTCCGCGTGCGCCTCAAAGAGCCATCAGACCACCACAGATGGGGCCCAATAGGGCCGATGCCGATTCGGAGTCGCGGAGAACCTAACGGGTAACCGGGGCTCCGGCTCGTGCAGGAGAAGGAACGGGGTGGTTTTTAGTCAGTAAGAGTCTGACACTCCCTTCCGCCTCACCCAGGCGGGAGCAGTCATTCGATTTCGATTTCGAGTCGTAATTTAATGCATTGTATATTGTTTTTTTTGTGTGTGGCTGGCTGTGGGTACGAAAAAGTTTATTTTTTTGGTTGGGAAGATTTTTTTAACATTTTCTAATAGATATCTAAGTATCTATCAATTAAATTAAATCCTACATCTTCTTTCGCAGCTATGCATCTACTATGTTATATAAGTTGTAACAAAACCAATCCGACAAACCCTAGGTTTTACTTGCTTGAAAATATCGCGAAAAAAGTCAGCTGTTTCATACAAAACTTCAATACCCACATCGCCCAAACGTATGGAACAGCTGATTTTTTTTCGCGTATTCGGGGTTGACTGCATAGTAAAACTTATTCCATATCATGAGCATCTGAGTATAGAGTAAAAAGATAAAACTTATCGATTAAAATAGGTTTGGATCAAAACTGACTATTTGATTTGAAGAAATCGGGTCCGACTTCCTCCTAAGTTTGTTTCCTTTCCTAAGGCCCAAGTCCTTATGCTCAGAAAAACGAAAATAATCTAATTCTAAAGTTCATAAACGACTTGCATGATTGTTGATGAGCATGTTCATGCTCCGACTCGTACCTACTTAGCCGATTTTCTAGTAGCTGTGACCACAAACTTTTTTGAATGTTGGATCCGCGCTTGGCATCATACAAATGATTCGTTTTCAGACGATAACTTTACAAAATACACCAACTGCAAGTTAAATGTAATCTAAATAACCGCATGTGCAATACAGCCAGTAAAAATAAAATGAGCGAATATCTTCCATCTGTTTATTATTTGGGTACATAACTTCCTCGCAATACAATTACACTCCAGAGTGGATACGTGAAAAAAATTACAAACATCCAAAATCTGTACGGATATCCACTTGCATAATAATTTATACTATTATCATGTATGTAAGTATATAATACACGGCATTGCCACCGACTAGGGGTAGTCAGTCGGTCACAATGCACGAACGAAGTTTACATAATATATCAGTACAGAGAACCAAAAGACCAGGTTCCAAAGACAGTACTGTCACGTCGCAACATAAAAAAAAAACATTTAAACGCAGCTCTTTGGCTTTCAAAATATTGTGATGCATGTTTACAAATAAATGACGTCACAATACTGTATTTCGAAGTGAGTCTGTGGCAGTTGTACAATGAATGTACAATATTAAGCTAATCATTTATATGGATATAAATGAGGATTTTTAACGCTGCACTGAATAAAAATGTTCATTCATACGTCTGTTGTTCGCTATAAAGCTGATGCAGCAAGGAGCTCCGTCCGCGGCGGGTGCACAACGCAATACAAACACTATTGGTAATAGAATAAGACTCAATAATGAAGTCTTTCAATCTCAATGATTTGGAGTTACAACGCGCATCTTATTTCTTACTCTGCTATTAGATTATGACATGTTTAGTTAAGTATATAGTTGTGAAGAGCGACTAGCTCAGCGGCTGACTACTCAATCACTAAATGCTGTATAAAGCTACATACATAATGCGGATAATTTGAGTTAAACATACTTTTATACGAGGGGCCCACTGTTATTAAACAGAGTTGTATAATATATTAATTATTTTTCTATTACATATCAGACTACATATAGGTAATTTATATATAGAGAAAATGCAATAATATAGATTAATGTAAAAAAGTTAAATTATAATTATTATGGTTTACAAGCTGCCAGGAATAAACAACCGTTTAAAGGTTTTTTTTTAATTTTATATGCCTGGAATAATCTTTGCTGTAAGAGTCAATAACATCTGAATTATCTGTAAATTGAAATTAAATTTTCCGCTATTCAATATAAGGTAGACATTTACTTTTTCGACACACATGACAAGTTTTATAAAACAATGTTATCATAGATTAAAATTAGTTAGAAATAATGGAGGTCTACCGCCAGCAGGTTTCATAAAAGCCCCTCAGTTAATAATAGTTTATAGATAAAATATAGTAATACTAAAATTATGATTTCAAATTAAAATTGACAGTTTATATTATTATATACTGTACATATTCGTATAAGAATCAATTAACTTTCATGACATTTAAAGGGTCAGCACAGATATTACACATTGTATGGCTATTGTCATAAAGTTCAAATTCTTTTGACATTTTCATATAGAACATGCAAGCACTGACCCTCAGATCATTGATTAAACATATCCTGTCTATTACTTATAATATTGAACAGCTCCACAAAACTTTAAAATCACGCTAAATTGGACTCTATTCCAAAGACATAAGTTGTTGATTTGACATCTCAAACGGTTACTGTTTTGTAGGAATGCGGTTGTATAATAGAGACTACGAGACGAGATAATATTCGAGATTTTGTAATAGGAACTTTAGCGCCATACAAGAATGTACAGTCACTCAAAAATTCAATATTTATTGAATATAGAAGATTTTTATATGTACCTGAGTGCACTACTCATTTGATTATTACTGTCGAAGAAAAATGGCCTCTGTCTATATGAAAGTAGATTATATAGTTGTATTTATCGGGTCTCGTAGTGAGTGTTGGCTGCGTGGGACGGAGCGTGCCGGTGAGTTTCACCGCTCCTCCAACATTACTGTCTCCTGCGGATACAGCTTCAGAGCCTTTAATGTGCTGCTTGGAGATTCCAGGGTAAGCTGTAAGAGAAAAAGACATATTAGTATTATTCATACTGAATTTTAGCTATAGAATTTGCTAAATGGCAAAAGCTAAAATAGTTAAAAGTGGGTATATTTAATACATGCTTCTCTGTCCACCATTTCGAGGAATATGAGGCGTGAATGTATCTTATTTTGTAGATTGGGTTGTCAAAGTCATTTATTTGAATTAGATCAGGTAGGCACTTTTTAATGTTAACAAAAAAATAAAAATTTATGCAATCTGCACATTTCAAGGTGTGAGATTACTTCTAAGGAGAAGAACGAGCAAGAAACTCTATAGGTTACTTTTTCAATCATTGATCCCACGCAACTAGGGATAGACATTAGGTAGAAAGTGCGATTTATACTAAGTTTTGGTTACTAGAATATTTGGGAATAGTAATAATATACAACTTACATCTCTCCTAGGCCAACTGGAGATGACCTTAAAGCTTTGTTGTGGATAACCTTTAGATGCGAGGAAGTCTAATAACGCCTGAAACAATATTACAAGGTTATTACATATACAGGTGATGTTATTTTGAATCATGATTGGGTTTACTCTAGTTTTAATTGAGATTTTATTTATATTTTTTTATGGTTACGTCTGGAGGCAGGTCAATAGCTGGATGTTACTGGAGGAGTTCTCGTTTTACTTTTTCTTTCTTTTCTTTTTTTGTCTCTTCTTTCGTTTTTGAAAAAACCTTGCCCCACACTAGGATTTTCTCCTGTATCGTGGGTGCGTTTACAAACATACAAGTTCACATACACATCACACCCAGACCCGAAACAACAATTTGTGGATCACACAAAGTGTTGTTCCGTGCGGGAATCGAACCCGCGACACGTTGCACAGCAGCCGGTTGCCCGGCCACCGCACCAACCGAACAGTCAACAGCTTTGTAGCTGATGTTGAGTTTGTTAGTAAATATAAGTGAAATAGTGTAGTATTACCTCGAGCGTGTCGTGTGCGTGGAAGCGTCGCTCGAGACAGTTGTCGTGCGGCGGCGGCAGACGCACGCGGATGCGCGCCACGTCGGGCGCCGCGCCGGCTGGCTCCGCCGGGACACGCCGCGCCGCCTCCGCGCGCTCCGCCTGCAACCACGGCTCATACGATAACCATACACATTCCGACTGACAGATAATGTACAAAATTACTTTTCTATAAAAAAAATCATTTGGGATAACTTTCATTTTTAGCGCCAAGAAGAAAATGATGACTGCCTCGTTGGCCGAGTGGTCGCAATTGCGACTGCCGGGTAAGGGGTCTCGGGTTCGATTTCCGGGTCGGGCAAAGTATTACTGGGTTTTAAAAAAAATCTCAGTAGTAGCACGGAGTCTGGAACTGTGCCCGGTATATGGCAATAGGCTCACCCCCTATTACATGGGACTCATAACATAAATAGTGAGAAGTGGGTGTTACATTCTACAGTGGTGTAATGTGCACCTCTGCCTTCCCCTTCGAGGATAAAAGGCGTGATGTTATGTATGTAAGAAAATGATTTTTGATTAATTGCTAACTTTCCACTACTACAGGATATCCTTCAAAATTAGTGATTTGTCACACGTTGCGGGACCAGCTAGTCGGAAACCAGAGCCTGTGGAAAGATCGATAGTGTTGTTTATCAACACAAACTAATAGCTCTACAAACCTCTTTTTTAGCTTCCTCCATTTGTCTTTCTGATTCTGCACGTTCTAACTCTTGATTTCTTTCTTCTTCTTGTTTCTTTTTAACTTCTTCTTTAGCCCTGTCGATGTAAAATGATAAGTGTATTAGCAACCATATAGGCACGTCAAAAATGTGCTTAACTTTTTTCTAGCAGAATGTTTTAATGGATCATCTACAATTAAAAAATCAATTTGATAGATTTTAGTATTTTAAGACGTTAAACGCCATGGGGGTCACCGGTGACCGGCGTTAGCGGAGGATTTACCTTCAACAGTTTTTTATTGGCAGTCAAAGTCTTAAACTTTGGTAACAGAAAATACAGTATTAGCCTAGTATTAGAAAGTCAATAGGTTAGGCCTATGATCAGCAGCAGCTATGACTGATATTCTCATGATATAGTACTGACCTGTCTGCCTCTAAGCTCATCTGGTACGCCTCATCCTGTTCCCGCTTGACACGTTGCCTGGCGTCCCGCTCCCGCTCGAGCCTGGCCTCGTCCTCCCGCGCTGAGCTAAACCGCTCCAACGCTTCTACTAATCCTCCCAGCAACTCCGATACACCGACGTTACCTGTTGAATACATTATGTAAGTTTATAGAACAGTTATTTCGGACAAAGGAGTTATCTGTTACAGATGTAATTGATAAATGTACCCATATATTGCTGTAAAAACAGATTTTTAGTCTCATAATTTTACAATAAGGTGAAAAACTTTACAAATCTTTGCTATTTTATTTTTATGTAGCATTTGAGTTTGAAATAATATAATCTGCAAATAGGCTACAAAAACAGTGCTACAGTTTTAAAATTAAGCTAGCTATGTAGATAATGACTTCTATTTATATAAATATAACTGAATGTAACTTTTAAGTATGATTACAGTATTTACCATTGATGACGGAGTATATCTCAGTATTTGAGCGGACTCGCATGATGATGAGCAGTGCGGGCATACGATCTAATGGCAAGTTGCGTATCGTCATACTCGCCACTGGACCTAGCGCGTTTGTTACAGACGATAGGAGCCTGGAACATAATAATAAAATAGTTTTAAGGGAAATAGTTTCTGAAGATTAATTAGTGCTGAACATAATTGTTTTGAGAGGTTCGGAGCCTCCGAGGAAGGCTATACTTAGACAAAAACAAATACATATAAATACATAATAAGAAGAAAGCTTGCTACATGTCAGAAAGATTTGGTGCTTTTAAGTTTTAACGATAATGATAACTTCACTACGTTTTTCTACAAAAACCAAGAACAAAATGACTCCTACAGCTTCTATGGTATTAGCTACTCACATATTATTATTATCGGGATGTGTAAGGTCCCAGCCGTACACGATGAAGTTGGCGGCGAGTGTCTGTAGCACGGCCTCACAGCCCAGAAGTTGTGCACAGAACACGTTCGACAGCACAGACTGCTCATGATGTAAGTACACGCCTAGGAGTTTCCGCTGCAAATATAATTAATAGGCTTAGTTTATTGTTTAAAGAATTTATATGGTACAATTAACTTGTTGAATTTTTAAATGCAGATTTTCAGTATTGTTATGAAGTCAAAAACAAATTAATATTTTGGCATTGGTATAGATATCATTTTGTTACAGGTCCTTTATAGGACTTGAACAAACTAAACAAATACCTGACTATATTCATTTTTTAATTTACATGGTAGATAGTGGCTATTCAGTCTATGGAAACTGGTTGTTTATAGTCATGTTGTAGACAAACCTCTTTGGCAGGTTTGAGACAGGACTCCTTGATGGCGTCCTGCAAGGTGCCCTCGAAGAACTGCGGCGTGTTGGGACCGTACCGCGTGCGGAACCGCTGCGCGAACTCGATACAACCCAACGCCTCGTCCTCTACACTGTCGGACACTGGAATAGGGGAACGTAATGCATTATATAATGATAAAAGAATTGTAGAAATGAGTTTTGTTTTTTCATAATTAATTAAAATTTTCACAGCGGGTAGAGTATTTATTTATCATTTCATGTACCTACACCACACAGACAATATTACAAAGGACAACACATAACAAGCATGAGGTACATAGTACGTATGTACCTATATATGTATGAGTAGTTTCATAAAATTAGATTTTTTAATGGACTTGCAAACAGGAAGAGAATCTCACGAGCGCAGCTCCTCAGTTCAACATTGGTAGTCAGTCTAGGTGTCTGTTGGTGAACATTTTCATTTAATTCGTAAATCTTACTAATGAGTGTACTCACTAAGTGGCTGCAACCGCTCAGTCTGGACGAGGTCAACGAACATATCGTCCTCGCCGGTGTAGCCCTCCGTCGTGTCCTCCACCTCCTCCACAGAACTGTTCTCACTGTCTGAACTCTCCACTATTATCTGCAAAATAATTAGTTACATTATGGTTATAGTTTTAGTAAATGTGGTGATGGTAGAGATTATATTTGCCATCACTGACTGGCTGTGATAGTCTGATGTTGTTATGATAGACCCGAAATTGAGCTTTTGTGAAATCTCTATCTTATCTAAAATTATAAATAACAATAGATCGTATCTATTGTAACTCCATTATATACCATGTTTATTCAGGTGCCTATGTTAAAATAACTTATCAGCTATTTGTGTACAGCTATTTATGATGGAAAGAGTTGATAATTTTATATCTAAGCGGGGAGAATATGTAAGCCTAAGCTATTAGATTAGTAAACCATTACCAGCTAAGACACACTAGAAAGTTGCTATTTTTAACGTTTTACAACATAGGATAAAAGCTACAAAGTAGATTGGTTAAATGAGATGTATAGTTTGACTTTTTATTGTTACGTGGGTCCTAGAACTAGATGATTAGTAGAAGAGTTCAGTACCGTATTTACCCTCTTATAGTCCTTCTTGCCAGGCGCGCGTCGCACGCTGAGCTCGTGCTGCGGTAGTTGCAGCCCCGCCATGGCCAGCACTGTCTCGTCTAGACCGGGCACTGCCGGCCAGCCTGTCCATGACTGCAGAGATAATATAATGTTAAGTATGGATACTGAGTCGGATGTTCCAATAGTTGAAATAACCTTCACCTTTTGTGTTCTATTTGAGTTCAATAGAGACTATTTTGAGAGAGAGAAAGAGGGAATATTTTGGGTGTACAATTGGGTGAATCGATCTTGACAAAAAGTCAAACTAATGTCGAAAACCTATACTATAATTGAAGATCGTTTATTATTTTGACAGTTAACAAACAAAAATACTAATTATCATTAATAACAAGTTTGACTGAGGATGAACTTTGCCTTATTTTCTGTCCAAGAAGATCTGTGATAAATGACCTAACAAATAATAACACAAGGAGAGTAATGAGCATAAAAGTATTACCAACCTGATGCCTAACTGGTATATCTGTGAGCGAGTATATGTCATTCTTGACTTCCTGCACTGTCTTCGTGCCGGGGTACTTGAGCGTATACTCCTTGTCTTCCACGTTTACGTGCAAAATGTACGTCGTGGTTAACCTTTCTGCCACCCTAGTAACGAAAAGTAAAAAAATATTAGTTACATAATATTAAATTATTTTTTACCTAAGTAGGAGATTTTGTGTGATCACTTGATTGACTTGAAGTGAATTCATTATTAAGCAAGCCATAGTATGTTTGCAAGTTTTGTCTAGGACTGTACTGCAGAATACTAGTTAAATGAAACGACAGCTAAAAAGCCACTTATTTAACACTGTTAAGTGTAGTTGTGAACTAATAGATATTGGACATAATAAAATAGTATTATTATTATCTCCATAAACAAAATTAATACTGATACTCACTCATCATCCGCCATAAGTGTTTCAGCAGCCTTGAGTCGCAGCACTGCATTAGGGGGTAGGTTGAGACTGATCAACGTCGCGTTACTAGTGGCGCGCGACCCGCCGAGCCCCGACAACTGTTGCCGACATACCGGCACGCCGCATTTCTTCTCCAATTCCTTCTTTAAGTCAGCTGTTAGACAAAATTGTTGGTATTAGTGTTACAATAGATTTTCAGTACAAATTAATAAAGATGCGGTGTACTTATTCATTCGTTTATGTAAGTATATTATAATCAATTTTAATGTTTAAGCTTAGGCATGTACTCGTACATTGTAAATGGAAAATGTAACGTAAGAGTGAATGGCTACCCTAGTGACCATAAAAATATACATAAAACAAATGAAAGGTGTTTGAGGAAAACCAAGGTACTTATTAATGATGTAAATAGTAGTAATTAATGATAGTATATAAAGACGACAGAATAATGTAAATCGACAGTAATTATGAGTAACAAAGCGGATTTGTAATAAATACTTTTCTTTCATTCAAAACAACAGTTTTAAAAGGTTGTGGTCTATAACCATCTTATTGATAATTTAAGACTATATGAAGATGGATTAATTATACAGCTACATATAGATTAATTTTATTATAATAGCGAAAGTTTGTAAGAGTATATTATATGTGTGTGTGTTATTCAACCACGTTAAAATGACTGAAGGATGAAATTTGAAACGGGTAGATGATGGCCTGAAATAACACACGCCTATGTGTACTTTTTATCCTACGGGAACACAGGCGAAGCTGTTTGCGAAAGCTAGTATCTTAATAATAAAGCATTACTCACCAACAGTAGAGCTCCCAGCCATTTTGACTTCATGTATCTTATTATTACAATGAACCTGTAGTTCTACAAAGGGATTGGGAGCGGCATTAAAATTTGCATGCATTGACGTGGATGCTTGATTTGTGTCTTCCCGGTCTGTGGAACAAACATTCATATTTTAGGACAGCTTTTAAACTTTAGCTTCTAAGGTAGAATACAGAATACAGAATGGAATGTAGAACTCCATATCTGTAATGTCAGTTAATGAAATTATTAACTTTATCAGCCTTGTTGCTTCGTTGGCCGAGTGGTCGCATATGCGACTGCTGGCCAAGGCGTCTCGGGTTCGATATCGGGTCCCGGGTCGGGCAAAGTAGTACTGGCTATTTAAAAAATTCTAAGTAGTAGTACGGGGTCTGGAATATGGCATATGGCAATAGGCTCACCCCTATTACATGGGACTCATAACATAAATTGTGAAAAGTGGGTGTTACATTGTACAGTGGCATTAAGAGCTGTAATGTGCACCTATGCGTGCTCCTTCGGGGATGTTAACTTTATCACTAAACCAGAAAATATCACTCAATCTGAGAATAAACAAGCTAAAGAAATATCAGCATGTATATAAGGGTGGTTCCGACCTATAAGTATAAACTTATGTTATAGTTAAGTTTGTACTCTATAGTTAACATGGTGGTTACCTGGTGGGTGAGTTTTTGGAGTTATCACAGATATATCATCGTCTATCATCTCAACATCGTGTGTGTCATTGTCATTGGCGGCTGAGCTGTTCCCGTCCTGTGGCATCACTCGGTTTATGGCTGCCTGTAAACACATAGGTGACACAAAATTTATAACAACCAGTTAGTATAAGGATAAAGAGGAGAGAATGTAGGAAGTTGATGCTGTTTCACAATATCGAATTTTCACGGTATAAGTATCTCATCTCTCTTTCAAGTCTCATCAGCAAAAATAAGTATTATCTTTTAAACTGTCAAACACCAAGCGGTCACCGGTGACCGCGACCTATTGTTCTTTAATTGTGTCTATAAAACCGGTGCTCGACGAGTTAAATGGTATTAAAAACATGTAAGTATAGTTATAGGTTAAAAACTTATTATTCGATAATTTCAAGTAGAAATCAATAAAATATATAAAGTAAAACCTAGTAGCAGTAACATAGGCCTTCAAGCTGTACAATGCCAACCGCACGCCAATGCCAGGACGACCTTGACTAAGTTTCTATTTCCTACACAATAAGGGCGATTTTCGTTACTACAAGGATTACTAGTAAAATGCATCAATTCCACTTATACATTTAACACACGTAATCACGTAGTCTTTCAATTCCTAAAAGGTATGGCAGAAGTGCACTTATCAAATGAAACATGTAATTTAGCCACCGAAGTTATAGCTTTTCGTGTGGTAAGTAGAAAAGAATACATTTTCAAAGTCAATAGCATTAATTAATATTTCAATGAATCCTTAATCAGGCATTTTTGAAGTGTCAATAATTTAACTGTCCGTCTGTCTGTCAGTGAAGCTAGGACCTCGTTCCAAAGTTTTGTCAGAGTAAAATACATTTGTACCCCCCTACTACTTTGTTCACCCCTATTCTTCCCGCAGGTGTATTGTAAGAGTCAACTAAAAGACTACACATTTTAGAGATTACGTGGCAGCATTATCTGATAAACTTCGTCCTTTTAAACTGCCATCTACAACTCTAAAGAAGAGTTTTTTTTGTAGAGGAAGCCCATAGTGCAGCACCAGCTATTAGTGATTTATATCCTACCATTATACTTCCAACTAATGTTACAAATGCGAAAGGAGAACGGCAGATTTTGTACCGCTTCGCTAAAAAAAGATTTGTCATTAAAAAATTGGGTCATTATAGAACCTCCTAAGTACGTTATGTTAGCATATTTAATAGATTTTTAAAACTTGGGAAACCCTAGAAAAACTGATATTCAATAATGATAAAAAGCAATCCACTATACGTAAAACGAACCGCGATTGACGTTTACAAAGTTGCCATGCGTAAAGATGAAATCAGAGCATATTGAATGTCGCTATTTCATAAACTCATTTATTTTAATATCTATCAATGAAATATTTTCCTTTCCATTTCAAACATTTTTATAAGTAAATATAAAAATCTACATCCAATCTAAATCTACGTTTACATGGATTATTAATGATAATTAACATTTTAACAAACTTGAATATTATGGCAATGTTGAACTGGCATTTGTCTTGATGACATTGACAATTAATTTGTCAATACTGGCGCATTGCTGTTTGTTTCAAATGCGATGTTATGATGTGTTTGTTGAATTTGAAGTTATTTTATTCATCTGGTGATACGTTGAGTTTGGCAACCGTTCCTCCGTAGCCCAAATTGGTATTATTGGCATCATTGTTGTGACAATTGCTAAAAGACACTTATTTACATTGTTTTGTGCAGTGTGTTGTTATTTGTCGCGATGATGAATTTACAGTGTATTAATTGCATTCAGAGTTTGTAGCACATGAGACGGCATGCTCTAGAAAATGAGAGTGAAGATTAGACGTGGTCAACAATATCCCAATGTGGACTTATCCTAGAGATGTAAGTACCTAGTTTACCCATAACATATCGAAAGTCACCATGTTGCCTGAATAAAAGAAGGCGCATAGTGTTATCTACCCATAATGTATCATTTTATTCTTTTTATTCTAGATCTCTCCTACCGACCATATTTGCAATGCTTGCTGGCAATTAGCAATGTATCAGGATGTTGCTGAAAGTATGTCCAGCAAACAAATTGGTCACTGGCATGTTTGTGTCGTATATGGGTGATTCATTGCAATGATAAGGTGACGCAGGGTTTTAATTGAAGGCGCCAACAAACAGGAGTAAAGACTGGCTCATATAGTATTTGATTGGATTCAGCCACAAGAGGTAATAAAGCATAATTTAACCATACTATTATCTATATACAGTGTAATCTAAAGTCAATATCATATTCTAATAATATTACTTATTTTAGCTTACTTCCCATGATGAAGATCATGTTCCATACTGACTGAGAGACCGTACAAGAGTCGAAACTATAAAACCACAACCTGACATACCACCTCACAGTGTTCACTATCAGGAAGTAATGTATTATGTAAACATGGACTAAGCCTCACTTTAACATTGCCATTTGTAGAACAGATGAGGCCGGATGATGTTGTTCGGCTCTCAAAGCTTCAACAGGTATGCATTCTCAATTTAATGTACCTACATAATTATGTATCTATGTGGAGTATATAAGCGGTTTCTAATAGGTTTATACTCATGTTATAATTATAATTTATTAATTAGCATACTGTTTGAGCTCCTATGATCTGTGTTACACGAATAACTATAATAAATGTTATAAAATGAAGTAATGTAATCAAATATTTATTTTTATCTTTTCCATTTTAAGATAGGGAATCAGACTTATTATTATAACATATAAAACTAAAGGAAAAAAATGTACTTTTGTTTACTTTATTTACAGTTATCTTACTTGTTTACAGATATCAGCAATTGATGTCTGCTGTACCTATGACACGGCCTGTTCTCTTTTTAGATGAAGTACTCCTAGAAACAACCTGAATACAATGAAATAAAAGTATTTCAAAATAATACATTTGTTTTATTTTAACCTAGTAAGTAACTATATATTCCATCTTGATAAAAGTGATTTTAAGAATCAATCTATAAAATAAATGCCATATTTAATTTAGATAGCTTTAGTTTTATACCAAAAATGTTCATTTTCATTTTACATTTTCTTTAGTTGTAATGTGGTGGCCCAGAGGTTTAAGAAGCCCGCTTCTCATGCATGAGAGTGCGGGTTCGAAACCTACCAACGGCAAAGTACCTTTTGTCCAATGTGTCTTTTTTCCGAGTTATTGGTATATTCAATAATCTAAGAAAGTACAAAGACACCGCTGACGAATGGTGAAGGAAAACATTGTGAGGAAACATGGGCTTATAATTTCTTATTATAAGTTTGAATTACCAACCCACATTGAGCTAGTATGGTGATTAATGCTCAAACCTCCATGCGAGAAGAGGCTTCGGTCAGCAGTGGCCACTTATAGACTTAATGATGAAAATGTTGATGATTCTACTAATTTGACTTACTTATTAGAAATTAATCCTTACATGCGTGCTAAGCAACCAGTTTTCAGAAGAAATACTTTCTCAAAGAGCTAAGCTAAGTTTAAATCGAATTAACTTGAGACCCTTGAGACTATCTACCTGCAAGATTCAAGGTGAATTGAGACATTAGTTTTATCATATCCGCCACAAGACTTCCACTGCTAAATGTAGGCCTTCTACCCAATGACAGTCGCTTACATTATGAATTTGCATTTTCGTAGGCACCTAAGAAATGAAAAAGATTGTGAGGCATACTCTTTAAAACTCTATAGGTGCATCATGCTTGCTGAATTAACAGGATCATTCCTAATTGCCTTTTGCGCTGCGACGCACCATAGGTTATTTTTTGGGTTTCTAAATTCTTGTTGTGTGTCGTAGCAAAATAAATGGTTTTTCTTTCTTTCTTTCTTTCTAATAATACAAAGTGTAATAGTCACTTGAGTAGCGAGCAGTATTTTTAGATTTTTGTTTTTTGTAAATAAACAACCACATGAGAGCACATTGACATTTTCAGTTAACTGTCATCTGTCATTTGTAATAGATATTTTGCTTACGGTGGCTCTACACTTGACGTTGCGTATTTGTTGTGTTCGGCCAAAAAAGAAGAATGTTTGGAGGATTTATTCTTCTTTGTTTGCTATATATTTGCACACCATTACATATAGAGATACTATTTGGACGCCATTTGTACGAAGTCTACAAATATTTGGACAAATGAAGCGACTACGCAATGTCAAGTGTGGTACCACCTTAACATACCTTTTGCACATTTTCAAAGTGAAATAACTTTTGAACCCCAAGTTCTAAAAATATGTAATTTTTTTCTAAACTTCATAATAAAAATATCTATCGTTCAGACTATTCACTTGGTTAAAACAATGACTAATACAAAATTTTATAGCGGTACAAAACTTCCATACAAACCTGCCATTCTCCTTTGTGAGTATGTATGTGTGTTTGTTACTCTTTCACGCAAAAACTACTGTTCGGATTTAGATGAAATTTGGAACAGAGGTAGATTATGGTAATAGAATAACACATATGCCAATAGGCCACCTTTTATCCCAGGCGTGGGCGCTCGGAGAAGCTAATTTAGTTATACCCAAGGAAGTATTATTATAGACCATTTATGTAATGAATATGCCCATGGTCAATCCTATACATGGAAAGCAAGGAAAACATTATAACAACTTGTTTCTATTATATTAGACGCATTTGTTACAGTACGACGTATTTAGATACGTTGGCACAGACAGATTGCAGTATCTATAGATAGTGATAGTACAAAATAGAAAAAGAAAGAGTAAACCAATATTCTACAATAACACAATGATCCTCAAACTCTAAAGAGCTACTCTAAAGACTGACATTTGAGGCTTGGCGTATTAGTGAAACAAGTGAATTTATTTCTGCAAATAGGCTACAAGACAGCACTTTTTTTAAGGGGTGAATATCATCGAACGACTGCTCCCGCCTGGGTGAGGCGGGAGGGAGTGTCAGACTCTTACTGACTAAAAACCACCCCGTTCCTTCTCCTGCACGTCGAGCCGGAGCCCCGGTAACCCGTTAGGTTCTCCGCGACAAGACAGCACTTTTTCGCGTCAATTTTATCAAGCGAACGATGAGGCCGACATTTCTTAACTGACTACTCTGAGAAGAAATAACGAAACAAACTCAGAGGTCCGTGTCTTTTATTATGATGGATGCTGCTACCCAATCCTGTTCAATAATAAAACTATTTTTGGAGGTAGCTATTCTCTTACGTATTGCGTAGCAATAAAGATTACAAAAAGAACAAAAAGTTAAAGTAGTCGATCTTAAAGATATCAAAATTAAATAAAAAAGAGAATTTAAAAAAACTAGTTACCTATTCCACTTAACTGTAAGTTAGATACAAATTCCCAGTTGTATTCCCAGAATAAATGTTTTTATCCTGATAACATGAATGAAAACCATTTAAAAAGAGAGCAGGCACTGAGTAAGTAAGTAGTCATGATTTAGTGTTCTAAATATAATACAGATGTATGACAAAGACAAAATGCCTATAACATAGAACCCATACAATTTTTGGTGTAGAATATCTTACTTTTAGATTTGCTTATCTGCCAATTCGAGAAAGTCTGATGTTGTTAGTAATGTTAGAATTCTAATTACACAATGATGGTGACATAATAACATTGCCAGCAAAGAGTTTACTATGGGATATATTTATACAGGGTGTCCAAGAACCTGGCGTCCAACTGGATTCCCACGATGCCCCAAGTTCTAACAGTACTCAGAAAAATATTTTAAAAAATCCACCCCATGTACTTACAGAATTATACTGATTTCAAAAAAAAGGGGAAATGAGCACCCTGTGACATACTTTTGAATGCTGTGACTGCTAATGCTGATAATTTCGATATTTCTTGGAGGTTTTGTAATCTAGGGTATTGCTGTGTCTAAATAGAATGTAAAAATTAAGTACTTATTGTACCATTTTAAAATAAAATATTATTTTAACTAAAGGTGATATGGAAAACTATTGAATTTCGCAACTTTGACCGACTGTAGTGTAAAAAAAATGTACCAAAATAGTATGGCAAGTGACGTCAAATTTTGACGCGTTTATTCCTCTTTTTAAAAAGGTATAATACTTACACATTAATTTGAAAAAAAAATTTTTTTGATAATATTTTTACTCAACAACCCAATTTTTACGATGTCTTACAGAATTCTTAGAAAGAAAAATTTACGACGAATTGAATCTAACCTCTAAAGAATTACTATTGTATGCTCATAAAAATAACAACAGGCCTCTCAAAAAACAGAAACAATCCTGCAAAAACATCGAGAAGACGAAAACTTTATCGACAAAATTTTGTGGTCAGATGAATCAACATTTAAGAAGGATGGCTACATGAACCTACACAACTTGCACGAGTGGCATGTGGAAAATCCGCACTTGATGCGAGAAGATAGATCCCAGTACCGGTTCAAAGTGAACATGTGGACCGGTATTCTCTGTGGGAATATTATTGGTCCATTTGAGATGCCCGAGAATTTGACTGGCGAATCATATTTAAATTTTCTTCAAAATGATTTGCCAAACTTACTAGAAGAGACCCCACCAGGGGGCTTACTCTTGAATTCAATTCCGATCGATCGACATTGGTATTGTGAAATTTCGTACTCTTGAGTTGCAATACTAGAGCCCATTGCATCCGTATTGCGTAGATATTGAATGAACTAAATGGTATTGAGTTTGTCTTTATATTCCGTACTCTGAATGCTATTGTAACAGCTAAGATTGTGGTTGTATAGTGTTGACATTTAATAATTATTGAGATCATATTGGATTGAAATTGCATTGACATTGAGATTGGTTTCAAGAGTAAGCGCCCAGATATGTGGTTCCAACACGACGGCTGTCCAGCACATTTTCGCGTATCCGTTAGAGAGTTTTTGGACGAGCAATACCCGAACAGGTGGATTGGGCGATCAGGAACAATCCCGTGGCCAGCCCGCTCACCTGACTTAAATCCGCTGGATTTTTTTTTCTGGGGAACTATGAAGGAGCCCATTAATGACATCGCTGACCTTCGTGAGAAGATAACACAAGCAGTGCAGGTGATACGTCAAAAAAGTTACTCGCGAAACATAAAGCGGTCCTTTTTAAGGAGAGTGAGAGCTTGTATTGCCGCGGGTGGTCAACATTTTGAACATTTATTGTATAATAAAATATCTTTAAACTAACATTCTTTCTTGCTTTTATTCTACTGGGAACCCATCTACCTGTGTGTATTTCCTTCTTGCTCACTCTTGGAACCGAAGTAAATAATAGTAGTAACATAACAGTTTCTAAGATAAGAAAGGGTCCGACAGTTACCCTTAGTAGGTAGGCACTTCGTAAACATTGGGTTGTTGAGTAAAAATATTATCAAAATTTTTTTTTTTTCAAATTAATGTGTAAGTATTATACCTTTTTAAAAAGAGGAATAAACGCGTCAAAATTTGACGTCACTTGCCATACTATTTTGGTACATTTTTTTTACACTACAGTCGGTCAAAGTTGCGAAATTCAATAGTTTTCTATATCACCTTTAGTTAAAATAATATTTTATTTTAAAATGGTACAATAAGTACTTAATTTTTACATTCTATTTAGACACAGCAATACCCTAGATTACAAAACCTCCAAGAAATATCGAAATTATCAGCATTAGCAGTCACAGCATTCAAAAGTATGTCACAGGGTGCTCATTTCCCCTTTTTTTTTGAAATCAGTATAATTCTGTAAGTACATGGGGTGGATTTTTTAAAATATTTTTCTGAGTACTGTTAGAACTTGGGGCATCGTGGGAATCCAGTTGGACGCCAGGTTCTTGGACACCCTGTATAGTGATCCTATATTTACATGACAATAGAGGAAAGACTCTGAGTTATTTTAAAATTGTATCAACTGTATCTGCAGTATATGTTGTTTATACTAATAATAATAAGAGCTAATTTAGCATAATGATTATTGATGTTGATTCATAAAGTTTGTTGTTTGGTGTCAAGTGAAAATAGTCATATTTTGTTAATGTTCTTGTTTGTCAAGAGTGACGAAATGATCACTAGAAATGCTGATTCATAATTGATATTATTATTTCAATGATTAGCTTGTCAAAAACTGATACATAAAAGCTAAGTGAATTGACCGACTGCTAGAGTAATTAAATATTTTAACTAGTGCTTATTACATTTTATGTGTAACTAGCTACTTCCGCGCGGTTTCACAACCTCTGCTCAGCTCCTAGTGCGACCACACGCTACGACTAGCGTGATGTTTTATAGCCTATAGCCATCCTCGATAAATGTGCTATCAAACACAAAAAGAATTATTCAAATCAGACTTGTAGTTACAGAGATTAGCGTGTTCAAACAAACAAACAAACAAAAAACAAACTCTTCCGCTTTATAAAATAGTATAAGATTATGAATAGATGTACAAATGTTTGTCCAATAAGATCTAATAAGATTTGTCTAGACAAAGAAATAATGTTTTAGCTATTGATTTTTATACCAACATATTTTTCTTTTGATAAATATAATATTAGAATTGCAGTTTACAGAACGCAAACGAAACTAGGGTATTTTAAGGTTCCTCCTGATCACAGGTTAGGTAGAAGTAATGTAGCAAAATATATTTATAATAGCAAAATGTGCTAATGCCAGGTGGGACCGCCTTAGGAGAGAATAAAGCACAGGTTACTCCAACTTCCTATCAATATGTTGAACTTATCATTCATGCTGACCATTCAATTTAATGAAGTCGGTAAAAATTAAGTCGGTAATTATAAAAAGTGTTGTGGGTGCGTTTATAAACATACAAATTCACATACACATTCAATTTTCTTTCATATTTATGAAACAAATAAACATATTCTTCAAGTTAAGCTAAGATTTCAAGTTATTATTTTATAGTGGTAGTCATTGTATCTTTGCCATGAACGCATCTATGTTTGTCTGACTAGACAGAAATCAAGAAAGCCATGATGACATGCAGATTTTGAGAGAGTAAAAAATTATCACATAATTAAGTTACACGAAATTATGAAATTAAGTATAGATTTGGTATTTTTATTCAATGTCTTTTTTTAATCTTTGTTTATTTTATGTGCATCATCTGACTTACAGCTGATTGGATGCAATTCATTATCAATGACATCCAATAAGAAGTATAAATATAAACAAACCCTTATATGGATATCATGACATAAAGAAAGAAAAATTCCCTTTGTATAGATTTCTATGGTGGTATGTATGACAATTTCACTGAAACTGGCTGGTAACAAGTAATGTTTATAATTTCCAGTTTAAATTAAGAATATAAAAAGTGTAATACTCACAAGCAAGTCCCAATTTGCTTCTTCTAGGTGGTAAATAGCTTCAGCAACATCTTCTATGGCTGTTATACCCTAGAAATATATTTTTTATTTATATTTACGAAGTACAATGCTGCCTTAATTACGTATACTACGCAATTCGAGAACGCAGTAAACACCACAAGGTTTACCTTGTAGCTTAGTAACTTCAAGGAAGTTAGCAACGACTATGCACAAAGAAACAATAAAGGCATAATTTCTAACGTATTACACGTGTCCAAACTGTAATAAACGAACGAAAAACCAAAGCAGTCATACAAAAAGAACAAAGAAATTTTGAAAAAATCTTCGAATACAACGATAAGACCACAGCACAAAGAGATAAACGAGAATTAAGAGTCACTGTTGTTATACTTCACATAACCTTTGCGAAATACTAAAGAGTGGTGGCTACACGATTAATATAGCACTATCTTATACATGCATTCTTACCTGAAAATTTGCTAGAATTTCTTCTCTGTTTTCTGCCATCCTGATATTATTGAGCTCAAAAAATACTATGACATTTGCGATTGCGACAAATCACTCAAACATTGACCATCGACAAACAACTGATTCTATGAACAGATTTATTGCCAGTAAAAAATATAAATTTTAACTTTAGTCCATAGACTAAAACTAGCATGAGTTGACATTTTTGAACTTTTTTACCAATTTAAAATACAGTTCACTCCTTTAGTTACTTTTTAGTTTATTTATCTCATCAATCTTATATTCTTAATGAATTATAATTTCACTATGCAAATAAAATTTACGAATATTTCTACACTTACTTGTTACCAGTAAACAAGTTTAGTGACCATTATACATTTTTACGAAGAGAAAAAATCGTCAAATGACTTTTCCCGCCTTGGGCTTTGGGGTAGGTGAGAGGGAGCGTCCGGCTTTTTGTTTTTACTACATACCACCTTGCTCCACGTTTGTTCGAGCTGGAGCCCAGGCAATCTTTAGGATGGTCCGTAGACCTGAAGTTTTATATCTGTAACACTTAGGTATAATCAAATATCCAGGAGATCAGATTTCAATTCCTAGGTCGGAAAAAGAAATATTTAATAGAAAATTGTACATAACTATTGTAGGTATGTACTATGTAGGTGTTATTCACACGAAATAATATGTAAGACATTATCATTGGGTAGTTGGATACCAACTTATTTACTCTTTATTTATTATTTACTAGCTTTTACCCGCGGCTTCGCTCGCGTCACAAAAGGATAAAAAGTAGCCTATGTGACACATACCAATACACACAGCGCCATCTATACCAATAATTTCGTTTTCCCTCGAGAATATCAAATTTTTCCGGGATAAAAAGTACCCTATTATTTAATCCAGACTTCTAACTTCACGTCTGCAAAAATTCAAAGCAAACGGTTTAGTAGTTACGGCGCGAAAGTGGAACAAACAAACAAACTCACTTTCGGTTCCGATTTATAATATTAGTAAGGATTTAGGTGTGACTGTAATAGCCGTTCAAATTATTTTCTAATTTCTTAAGTCAATAACAAAACATGTTGTCTTAAGTGTGAGAGGGCCATGCTTCGGCACGAATGGGCCGGCTCGACCGGTGTGATACCTACCACGGCCTTACAGAAAAGCGACGTGAAACAACGGAAGCGTTGTGTTTTGTCGTGTGAATGAGGGGTAACCTCAATTATCACCCCTTCCTACCTTAATCTTCCCAATCCCAGAATCCCCAACAATACTCAAAATCCTAATCTCCAAAAGGCCGGTAACTCCGAGTAACTCGCTTGTAACACCTCTGAGATTCCAAGTGTTCATGGGCGACGCGGATTGCTTACCATCAAGTGATGCGTCTGCTCGTCTACCGGCTTATCCCATAAAAAATGACTCTTTTTAGGATATCAATATTTGAGTTTTCAATTTAAATCACAGTTTAATCTCAGTTAAATTATAATATAGATCTACTTGGCAAATTATAAATCCAGCTAGATCTTGTTAAATTATAATATAGATCTAGCTGGTATAATTTAGTAGTAAAAAAACTATAATTGGTAGGTACAGAGTGAGGCAGGCACACACCACAGAACTTGATAACTCATCCAATATGAAGTTGTAATACGTTCGCCTGACTCCAGTTCGCAGCAGTTGAAAAGCGTGTAAGCGGCTCGCGCACGCGCACTACTTCACCCGAGCTTGCGCATAATCGGAACTTTACGCGGGAAAGTCGTGATTGAGTAAATAAAAAACGCGGTAATAAAAATATTCAAAGATATAAATTTGATCTAATTTAAATATCGTTATTTTGAAAAAAATATAAAGTATCTAAAAAATCTAAATCTTTACACTTAGTTTAATATTTAAAAAGTCGAAAAAGAACCAAATTATGGAGTATGGCCGTAAAACGAAAAAAAAAAACAACCAGGGCTATTCCAATTTTGATTTGAGTTTAAAATAATGCGCATTAAATTTTAATTATAACAATTCTCGAAGCTATTTACATAATTTCAATTACAGTAGATGCATAAAATCAGTTTGCTAAGTGATATTTTTAAGAATTTTCTTTAAAAACATGGTGTTTCAGCAGACATGGCTACTACAGCCATGTACGCGCGGGCTTTGGCGCTGTTTGCTGTGGTGGTGGTCACGCAATCACTCACCATGGACGAAGGTAAGTCCTACCACTTTATGGTACATGAATGTTGAACTATTGAGTTATCATCTTTACCTTTTCCGAATACCTAGAACACAAATCTATAACGTAAGACACCATCATTGCTAGGTAATGGTTTTCGGTGATAATAAAAATAATTTTTAGGGCAGTTGTACGTGTGTATTAAATACTTGTGAAATATCTACAAAGAGCGATAATATCCTCGTGATATCTCTGTTGCCAAGTTATTGGTGTCACGGTGTCATAGGGCGACTTTTATATTAGGTAATTAAGTGTCCCAATTATAAACAACTAATTAAAAAATGTTTACAGTAAAACGACTGTATTTTTGGAAAGTATGACCAACTTAGTTTGTGCCTTACAGTTCTAATATCCTGTTTATGATTGCATTAGGTAGAGTTGGTTGGTATGTAATAACAATAATGATAACTGAATTACTTAAAGTTATTATTTTGTATCGGGTTTGGTCTGTAAAGCTAAAGGCCATACAGATAGAAAATATAATAAATATAAACAATAAGAGACCACACGTTATCACTTCAGTATGCGTAGGAGTCGGTTCAAGGAATCTTACTACAACTGGCTAGTAACACAGTACCTACTTGTATTATGTTCTATTATTCCGTACCCGGACATTGTAGGTGGTAGACCAGTTATTTTTTATTAGTTTGCATGCGATTACCAATGTTATTTACGGTGTTATTTTCATTAAACATTAGATATACTTACCTAGTTATCTAATAACTCTCAGTACAGTCGTTTTAGTTATTATTTTTATCAACCACACTATCACAGTATATACTCAAGTTTGTACAAGAAAAATATTAGGCACTTGATTTTTAAAGTAAAGTTACCTAATTAAAAGTTTTATCTGAGTTTTAAATTAATCTACGATTACAAACTGAAAGTCTTCTCAACTGATTGATACCGCCTTTATTGATTTAGCACCTAACAACTTATTTGGCTAGTCTAGCCTTTCATAATTAAAATCACATTATTGAGTAGTTTTTAAATTGGATTAAAATATGCTGCCTACTTTGTAATATCATCGGTGCACCCTCGGTCACTGTGTCCCAGAAATACATCCGTCAAAGTAAACATAAATTCCCATTAGGACTGGCGCAGCACTATTCTCGGTGTCATTAGCGCTCGGAGAGAAATAGAACGAATGCACACACAGAATGGCATAATTAGATGGAGCGGAAGTTAAGGAATTTTCTAAGGAAGTTCAACGACTCGAGTCATGTTTTGCAAGAAATTTTTAGGCGCTGTGATAACAGTTGCTTTTTAAATGGGTACCTATCTAGTTTGACTAAATTTACTGCTACCAAATCTCAGAGGAAAAATAGGAAGATGGAAAAGCTTTTAAGATCTGTAGAATTGCGTAGAAGATTTCAGTATTGGGTTAGGAAAACACCAAAAGATGGAAACTGTAGTTACTGTTACAACCTGTTTGATTTGCGCGACTAGTTTTGTAGGTAGGTATGAAATAATTATTTGTTTCGCACATACACATTTTAGAAACAGTATTGCTAAGTTAAAATTCACACAGCTCAATTTTTATATAAGGTAGTTTGTCGATCTATAAATTATGTGAGAGATCTATAAAACATTTTAGCGTGTTCTCGTTTCATAGTGTGCCAACCTTCCTTTCATCGGTATGGTTATGTTCTTTATACTATGCTAAAACCGGACCCAAGCCCTAAAGCTGTGGGAACTACATGTTATTATGAGAGACAAAGCCACCGAATTTACCCGGCGAGGTAAACAAACCATCTCGTAATCTATTTGTCACGCTTAGTTGGGGCAGTGTCGTCGAGTGACCTCGGAATTAAATGATATTAACATGGTAGAATATTAGGTTGTTCATGGAATACAAAAATAAAGAAAGCCTTTTCTTGGTTATGTTTATCTTGGGATAGTTTGGGAAACTTATGTTTCTAATCTTAAATCGTCTCTAGGTTTAAGTTCACTTATGTTTTTTCTAATGGAATAGGAGGCAAACGAGCAGATGGATCAACTGATGTTAAGCGATCAGTATTTCATTTTCAAATTATTGGCACAAAACATCTATAAATGCATATTGGACAACTGAAACTACCAAAATATGTCAGTTGAGAAGGTCACGGGACATATGGTAGGCCGTATATGGAGTACTGGTTTCACACAACACAATGGTCAAGCGCATCAGAATATTTACGGTCTTGTTGTCATCAAAAACTTTGTATGTCGTAATGCAACTGTGAGTCAAAATTACTGGAATTTGTTTACCATTAAGGAAAAGAACACAGTAGAGGCCGTTTTACAGTATATTGTTTTTCTCCTATATACACTATGACGATTTTGGTTGATACCTACCTTCTTCGTTTTCGTGATTTCTCAGCAGGATTTGCATTGCATTTATTAATGTAGGATATTTTAGAATGACTTGTTTTGTAAATTATTATCTCAAATACCTTGAAGTAATTTTGTAGACCTGTACCATTTCTTACAGTAATAGGTAGTCAAAATGGCCTTAGCTACAGATCCTACCTGGAAGTATCTATGCGGTCATTTGTCAACACTTGAGACTTATTTTCTGAGTTTAGTAATAGAGACTGATTGGTCCTGGTGGGAAATAACTTGTTACCAGTTGACTACCGTTGCTATTTTCATTCTGTTTGGTGCATAATCTACATCTTCGGGTTGCTAAATTTGGACACCCAATTCGAACACAACTTCCTTGACGACATGGTACCTACACCTATTTAATTTTGGTAAGCAAGTTTAGAAATTAATAGGTTTATTATAATACTACACAACTTAGTAATGATGTACCGAGATGTAAGATGTAGATCATTCATATATCATGTAGATAGGCATAAAAATCGATACAATAACCCATTGCCTTTATTAGATGACTAGATGCTATTTGTACACTACTGACAGTGGGTGGTGTGCTCACCTAACCACATAATTAAATTACCTACATCTTACGAAACTGTCGAGGACGATTACAGTCGCTGTCTGGTCAATCAATCATCATTAGAATTTATTTGAAGGCTTATTTAAAGTATGGAGTACTTTATATCGTATAGATCGTATAGATATGTAGATAAGTATCGTAAGTTGGAAGGAAGCTAATTCTGAGGGAAAATGTCAAAGGTAGCAAAGTTTAATGAGGAAGGAATTCTAAGTGACAGATGGCCTGGCGGATATGAGGAGTTTCTAAGGATTCTTATTGCCTACGGATACTTAATATAGGTAGAGCTTCCAACTTCAAAGGGATATTGCAAAGCTTAATGAATTCAAGGTAGGGAGAGACATCATGAGTAGGTGTATTCGCACGTGAATAAATTTCACTACATTTACAGTAATATTTTTATATTACCGTAAAAGGAGATTTTTATTTTATAAACTAATTCAAAATATTATATTTAGCTTATTTTTTTTTCTCTATACCCCACCAGGGTCATTTGGAAGATAACTTGGATTTATCAAGCATTCTACATACAGCAAAAAGTTCAAAGAACCATTAATGTAAGAGCTACGAACGAATCGTAGAGCTTTCATTATTTGGTTATTAAATTATGTTTTAAACGGAACCTAAGAAATATTTAATTTGTGCATTACAAACTACAATTTTAGCTAAAATTATTTTGGTACTATTAGTAGGTACCATCCAAAAGTAGCTTACTCAAATTCACATAGAAGCGACTTGACGCGGCCAGCAACACATCTGGTGGGTACATTATACATAATTTATTAGGCACCATATTTGTTTACAAAGCCACATGAATTAGAGCTTATGAAATAATCGAATGACGTGCTATGTGAACTACTATTTGATTAAGTTCACAGATGTGTATCATCATTATTTTATTTAGGTGCCTTTATGGACATACAGACATTATTACAATAAAATTTGTTGCTAAGTCGTCTGGAGCAATAATAAGCACGTACTTACTTATTAAATAGTATTTCATTGTGTAAATTCAGATAAATATTTATCACTTTTTCTGAAAAAAAAAAAACAAAAATACTTAAGTACCGTACTTACGATTTCATTTGAATATTTTAGGCAGATGTAGAATACTTACTTGGATAAAATTTTGGTGCTTGAGATCGACTGAGTACCCACTTTAATATATTGTTTTACTTTATATTTTACATTTTGGTTCAGAAAATTTACTTGAAACATTCACAAGGTCACTCATATAGAATGAGAATGAGCACTAGAGTTTTTGAATATTTTATGAAATTGTTTCAAAAGCACTTGCAATTTTATTCTTTTGGTTGTGATAACGTTGTCTGTCTGCAAGCTAAAATATCTATGAAAATTCTTGCTCCAAAAACAGCGGTTTCTCTTCAAGAGAATTTGTAAGCAGCATGTTGCATAAATTGGTCCTTTTTTACATAAAACAGATTTGTTTACTAGTCTTGGGGTTTGTATATCTTGTACCCCTAATACGAAACGTATTGTATGGGCTTACAAGATATCTCTGAATTTATTAAATCCACGGCAGACATGTATGTGTTCGTACAGTATTGCCTCATGAAAAACGAAAAATCAGAGGATAAGATTAATTGCTAGCGAATCCAAATATTAAGTTAGGAGTATAGTGAATATTGAGAAGAATTTTTTAACTTTGTATTCTAAATTGTCTAGGAACTATGAATACTGACCAGCCACGGATTTATTTATTGTGTGATTAATTGAGTGATGATCTCATTTATTGGTCCTTAGAGTAGTCATCGTAAATGTTTTCAAGCAGATCTAACGTTTTTAACAAGTGTTACTAGTAGGATTCATGATTAAAAGAAGAATACTGATTTTCTTAAACGAAAACGTATCAATTTAACATTTTCCTGCGCTATGTTAGTGCTGGTTAGATAATTATAATGTCTTTTAACCAAATATGTATTTAGGTTCGCTAATAAAATGTAGCTGTGAACAGGTTGCAACAATGACCTCATCGGTGTGGTTGGTTACGATTCTGCGCCTACACATCTTGTCA